TCTTTTCACAATGTAAATTAACTACTTACTTGCACCTTTTACCCCTCTTGGAGGAGTATAGGCAACTCACAGCATTTTCCATCCAACTCTCTCTTCCCATCTCCTTTCCAGTTGATATTCATCCATTTGATGTCTGCTTCGAATCTCCGACGCGACGTGTTCGTTGGCCTTCCTCATTTCCTTTTATGTCTTCAGGATTCCAAGTTAGAGCTTGTCTCATGAAGCAGTTTGATGATTTCCACAATGTATCTCCTATCCGCCTCTAACGTTTTCTGCTAATTTCCTACTCAGTTGAAAGCTGATTTGTTCTCCCTCACAGTAGGCTGTTACTGATGGTATCCAGTAAACGGACATTGAGTATCTTGAGTAGACAATCGTTTACAAATACTTGTGCTGTTTTGGTGATGGTTTCCTACCGATTTCTTCGTTGTGTCATATTCCCCTCCGTTTCAGCCTTTTCCACTGTCCTTGCTAGATCTTCCATGTATTTCTGCTTGTGGGCTATGATGCTCCTCTTCATTAGCTTGTTTGCTTCTGCGCATTCATCCTGCGCCTAAATTTCCTCTGTTCTTGTTTGGCTGTTGTTAATTGCTGTCCTTTTGTTTTTCCTTTCTTGAATCCCGCAGTTGACTGTTCTCTAATAGATCAATCATATCAATTTCCCATATATCTTTTAGAGTATGTTCAAATTCCTTCTAATAATAAATTCCAACTACTTACACTTCATAGGATATATGTTGTAACACTATTGAAAAGAAATAAAAATATTATACAGAGTCAATTCGTTGTTTATTTATTGCTATTCTATCATTAATTTTCAAACATCAATAGTTCCATGTTATTTTAACTTTAGGTTCATCAATATCAAACGTAATTAAACACCAAGTTATTGGTTTTGTTGATTTGTGAATTCGATAATTTCCGGACAATTGTATATTCTTTGTGAGAAATCCAGATTAAACGGATTAAGATAACAAATTTGTTAATGGGACTGTAAATTCTTATCAACTGAAACAGTTAGAATATGTGTGTTACACATGTGTCTAAAATGATAGCTGTTTGAATGATTTAGGTTTTTCTTTATCATGCCGCTAAGTCATGTGAGCAAATTTTAATAATGAATGCCAAATATCTGTAGAAAATATAACACTCTAGTTTTCTTCCAACGGTTTATACATATCTGGTATTGATTACATTTGAGCTAACGTTCTGAACTATAATTAGACTCACTGCTTTTACTTAAATCATCAATTAAAACCGGAAACTAAAAATGAATAACTTTGTCGTTTTAGTGTCAGACATTACATGTGCACATTCACTTTTTAGCCAATAATCTAACTAAGAGCTTTCAAGCCTGTTGACTGGAGGTCTTAAATGAATAGTTGAGAATCAATAGCAAATGTTATTTATCCGTTACAATTACTTTATGAAGATGAGTTATGATATGTGAAATAGTATTTTAACACTTTATTCATTATTGACCACAACTAAATTTAGTAATTAATCCAACTACAAATTGTAACTTCCTTGCTATGTATTTCAACTCTACGATATCGTAAGGACTGTACGTTTGCTATAGTTCTACCCTTTCCTGTCTATCAGTTGCGGTTAAGCGGCTCTTCAAATTTTTATTCTTCTTCTTATTATTATTATTACATCAGCAGTATTTTAATTTGTTGCTTTCATCTTGTATATGTAGGTGAAACTATATGTTAGCACCTGTAAATCAGATAACCAGCAATCAATTCATTGAGAAGTGGAAAATTTCCCACAAACGAAATAAGGATAAATATATATGGAAGGGAAAGGTCTATTTTCAATAGGCTTCCTAATTATTTGACGTAAAACAGAAAGCTATTTGAGAATGTCATTAACCTATGTTAATTACATAAACATTGCAAGTTACCAAAACTGTGACCGTTCGACCTACCTCCAACTTTTCTCAAAATGCACTGAATATCCTGAGTAAATGAATTAAGTTTAGATACTTAAATGGCTACATGTGATTTTTTTCCTTTCTTTTATACATGTTTCTCTCTCGTGTTCGTATGCGCACTCCTCTAAATGATCTACAAATAAATAACAAGTTTACCCTTCACTTATTTTCTGAACCTGCTCTTTCATTTATCGAATTATCAAGAAAGGGTTTTTGTGGATGTTATAGTAATTCAATTGACTGTTGGAAGAGTCCCAAGAATAACTCTCATCAAAGTCCCTAGGGGCCCAGAAATGCTAGACATTTTATCCAACCATCCTTGGAAAGTCTTCTCAGAAGCATTTAGAAAATGCAGAATCACGCGTCACAGTTCTGATTGGATATTTACCCATGCTGTCAATAGATTTAGTATGGTTCCAGAAGTCTCCAGAAGCCCAAGGTTGTGTGTAACTCTATAAATTCCCTTTTTTTCGTACATCAACTAACGATGGAGTAAAGCGTTCTTTTTGTACTTCACACCTCCTATCTTTTGTTCAAGTTGCCGTGTGGATTTAGCTTAGGGTTATTGGCAAGCAGCTAGAAAATCGGATCAAGTGTCCATTTAAGAGACTCAACGTTATCAACAAGTCTGTCATATACTTCAATGATACTTTCAAAATACTTCTTTCTATGGTATCTATGTTGTACAATTACTATAAATTTAATGAAACCACAAACCGATCAAATTTGGATGGTCGCACACTGTCGTGAACGGATTGAAATAAAACGCATACATTGTTAGATCCCGGCTTAGTGATCCAGAGGTTAGGCGTTCGTACGCGAGACTGAGGAATCTGAGTTCGATTCCCGTGTCCGGGGTTATAAATGAGCACTGTTGATAAGTCCAACACTAGGAATAGACAGCTGTCTATTACCTCCAGGTTTTCAGTGGTTTTCTGACTTTTATTAGTTTATGATTTAAACGAAATTAAATAATCTCCACAACCTTAAACTGACAATTATAATTTCATGTAAAAATATTATGAATAATACAATTTATTTGAACAGTTGCCAGTTAATCCAGCCACCAGCTTAATACATTGTTAAGCTACATTAACTTTAGAAAGTAAGTACGATTTTATAACTTAAGCATTCCAAATAATATAATGATCATCACAGTTACTACAACTGAAGTTGAACGAAATGAATAAGATATAATATAAATCACACTGAAAACCAACAATAATTAGTGATTGTTTCATTAACTTTTTCTTTACAGTTTTATTACAATAAAACTGAGTTTGTATTAATAAAATGATTTAAACTATTTGAAAGTCTTTCAATAACAAAGTACAAAGTCATTTATTCAACTTTGAATCACACTGTTTGTGTGATGGCTAATGATGTTAATTGATTGTCGAAATAAAAATAATCAGAGTGAAGTTCAAATCTCCATGCTAATCGCTAACAGTTGAGTGTTTTATTCATATAACTACTATATTTTTTACCAAGAAAAAACATAAGACTATCTCATTATCATCTTCTGTACAGTTGTATGATAATAATAATAATAATAAACATGGTTTCATGATGAAAATCTTTAATAATAATGGATAAAGTTAATTAAGTAGTAAATTTTAAACAAATAAAAAGCACATCAATAACACATGAAATAAAAAAAGTGTTTAATAATCAACTTCCTTTACGATATGTCAATTTTTGTCCACTATATTAGTTTTAGACTATTAGCTTAGTATTTGAAGTACTTAACATTCAAGTAGTAGGCCAAAAGTGATACCTCATTCCCCATAATTAGGTTCGGCCAGCTAAGTATTCTTATAAGAATTCACACATACACATATACACACAAAGCAATTTCAAATATCTAATATCTTGGCAGGTAATTATAAATTTAAAAAGACTTGGTTATATCACAAGTTCAATACGATTAGTCCTTTACTTTTAAACATCTTAGTAACATACAGTTCAACTAGACACTTATTCTTTCCCTACAATAATTTACATATGATGGAACAAAGTAAATAAATGGTGAATTAGTCAAAGTAAATCGTTTAATAAATCTACAGCCTGCATTAACACATATTCTTCTAATATACGTTGTGAGTGTGTTCTTATTTCAAGCTACTAGTAGTGCGAAAATAAACCATAACTTTAATAAACAATACTCCGGAAAAGTTATCCAAAAAACACAATACTAGCTTGGTATTTGGTTGAGATCACTAATCGATTGATGTTAGACCGCCATTGAGAACCTAGGAGCACTGGACAGCCGCCTCGTCCTAGCTTGAGACTCCTCAGCAGTGCGCATCCACGATCGTGCTCGTGGGATTTCGCAATTTTGTGGATTGGTTAAAGTTAGACATTAACACTGTTGGATGCCGGCTCAGTGATTTAGTGGTTAAGTGTCAGCGCGCGAGATCGAAGGCCCTGGGTTCGGATTCTGCGAGCGCGAACGTCGATGCGCACCGCTGAGTCCCATACTAGGACAAAACGGCCATCTAGTGACTCTAGATTTTTAATGGTTCTCTAACATCAATCGATTCATGATTTCAACCAAAAACCTAACAATCTCCATAACCCCATACTGATAACTAGCTCGGTAGTTGAACTACTTGCCTTTCTACCATTGAGTCACAAATTCGAATGTGGATTCATCTATTTGAGTTTAGGCGCAACAAAATAATCCCCAGAAAATGAACCAATGTAGTCATTCACTGGTCTATATTTTCTGTTTGCAATAATAACATATTATCATCAATGAGTAACTGTTTCAGTCTTGTTTGGTCGACTGACATCATTCAAACACCATACTTACATGACTACGCTTGAATATATACGCATGTGACAATGTGTGTGTGTGTAACTCTATACATCTGGAGAGTAAGCACAGATATATATGTGGACAATTCCATTAATGAGAAGGCAGAATTAGAACAAATGATTAAAAGTAGTCGTTTCCGGAAGACAAAAGTCTAGTCCAGTTCTAGGAAAAACTAAATTGTTGTTCATTTATATATATATATATATATATATATATATATATATATATATATATATATATATATATATATATATATAAGGTATATGTACACAAAATAAGTCAACAATGTATTTTGATACTCGATACCTTAAAAACGCTTTCTGGTGTAAAGCAACTTCATAAAACCACTGGATAAGTTTGAATCTATACAAATACACGCAGTAATTAAAGGCAATTAAAACACAACAAACAGTTTTATGTGTATGAATGAAATACATTTATGTGAAATATGACATACGTGTGGTAGACATAGAGAATTACCTACAGAATAAATCAATCCTATCTTGATTGTGTAATAATCATTATAGCAATAAACAATAATAATAACAATACTAACGATAGTAATCATAAATAGTATTATTATTAGTAGTAGTATCATACTCCTGGAATCTGTGACGAAAAGGCCTGTAAATCAAGAGAGAGTGTGGAAAAACACAAACAAGAAAGAATATCCATAAACAAACAAACAATAAATTAGACATGCTCATGTACTTATGGATTTTTCTATGTTACATGTATACATGTATACATACGTATTTGTTTGTGTGTCTGTAATATAGGAATAGAACGGTAAAAGAAACACCTTTCTTACACACTTATACAGATACAAATAAAAGTGACCGGGGTGTACAAAAATGTGCCGAACTTACTACAAAGACCAAAATATATGTTTGCTGGTTGAAAATATAGTAATTGGTACTACTGCTAGACGTAGTAGTGGTAATGGTAATCGCGACCACTACTATTACTGCCACCATCAAGTACCGATATTAATAGTAATGTTGAGAGTGGTAATAGTAGTAGTAATACTATTAGTAGCTCATTTTCGGTGCTTCAATCAGAACAAGAGCTGGAGAGAGAGAGAGAGAATAAAGGAATTATAAGGAACAGGAAAGAACTTGGAAAATGGATTTTTTCAGAAAAGAAGTGGGAGGAAAACGCATAAGAATAAGAGGAATATGTGGTAACAGAAAAACGAGAAGACGAAGAAGAGGAGAAAGTAGGACGGACAGTATAACATATTTATCAGTCTTAATAATATTCTATTTATTATTATTATTATTATTATTATTATTATTATTATTAGCATTATTAAAACAAGAAAAATAAATATTAAAAGTGAGAACTATACAAGAAATTACAATTCATAAATTGGCGCCTAATTGAACAAAAAGAAAAGTCGATAGACTCAGTTATATCTATGATAATTGAGATACAGAAAAATTGCTTTTTTCACTTGTACAGGTAGTGTTTTCATCAAAAATAATCAACAAGTATACACTGACCTCTCTACGTTGACTGAAACACTTACAGTATATCATGATTTGCATACGTTTATGTGTATGTATGTGTGATTGTGTGGAGGACAGACAATACAGTACAGGACAACGTATGTATAAGATAATTATGACAAATAGTCATTATTGGCTGAATTAAGTAGACGGTTAGTAAAAAACATGTTGCTTTTGTGCAGTACATGCTGAAGATAATGATGACGAGGTAGAAGATACGAATGAAGAGGTGGAGGAGGAAGAAGAGGACGAAAACGATATCGAGGATGATGTTGATGACAATGAAAAAGATGAACAAGGAAAAGAGGCAGAGGAAATAAGTTGTGGGGCATCTAAATTCACAGACAGACCAGAAGCACAAGTAGACAACAATGATGAAGAGGAAGTAACATTAGTAATCATAGTCGTAGGAATTCTATCACAATCAACAATAGTAGTAGTAGTATTGCTAATACTAGTACTACTAGTAGCAACAGTAGTAATAATAAGATTCGGTTTAACATCTTTAATTATATCTGAAGAGAACATTAATGATGATGAAGATATCGCAGAAAGTGAATCTCTAGAAGAAATTTTAAACGAATTTGGAAATTTACCAGAATTATTCGTTGAATCATTATCGCTGATATAATCACCACTACCGGGAACAACAGTATTTACACTAAGGACAGGTACAACCGGAAATGTATTCGAATTCAACATCGGATTCGACGATGGGATCGACGACGATGGCGGTGGGGAACTAGATGATAGGTTAATATTTTCATGATTAGTTAAACCAATTGCTTTTGGTCGCCCAGGTCTACCTCTAGTTCGACCACCTCTGTTTGTATTCATTGACTTTGCAGAATTTGTGACATGATAATTTTGTAAATTATAATGAAGTGAAGACTCTGATCTTGAATCTGATTTTACGACTGAATTATTTGACACAGTTCGATTATCATTATGAAGTATAATCGCTGATGTAGACGATGTTGATGAAAATGGTCTATCGTGTGCATGAGATCTCAACTCTGAATTCAATTCTGATTTAAGGTTGACCAAACTTTGATTATTGTTGCTGTTATTATTATCACTGTTATTATTATTATTACTATTATTATTATTATTATTATTATTATTATTATTATTATTACTTGTCAATAGGACAGATAAAGCATCTTTTATTCCATGGAATAACATATTTTTAATTTGCAATTTATCTTCGTGATTTTGATGTGTCGGTGATAGCTGACGAAATTCTTCCATTAATTGAAAACATTGAGGTAAATGTTCCGGTGAGACAAAATCTACAGCCGCTTTGATACAACTATTTAAATTTCGCACCTATTATATATAAATATACATAAATTAACGAAGAGTAAGTTATTCAATCAAAAATCGATTGAATAAACAAACATGTGAGGATAGTTTTTAAATAAAATAACAAACCTTTTTGCCTGTTGTGGGTTTGCATCTCAAAATAACAATTTTTAGGTAGCCATTGAGATCCAGGAAGCACTAGATAGCTGTCTCGTCCTAGTAATTACCTATTTAACAATGCGCATTCAAGATCCGGTCGGGGATGGAGTCCATGACCTTCAAGATTCATAATGACTGAGTACTGAAGAACACCTCAATACTTATGAGTTGGAAATCAAATGTTTCACATTCCCAGTTTCAGTCAACTCAAGATACAGCACTACGATCATCCTAATAAGTTACTGATGACGACTGTTTTACTCCTATTGCAATTTCCAGATATAACAGATTTCACATAATTTTCTGATTTATAAGTTTGAGTAACAAAAAAATCCAAGATAGTAGCAAAATACCATGAACTCATCCATTTCGTAGAATTTCCTCGGCTGCCCATAACTTTGAGAGTTATTTTAGAACTAAGTTATCAATAAACACATTGTGATACTATTGCCTGGAAGTTGATTGAAGTTAGAACTGTGAGCTACCTGGATGCCAACTCACTGGTAAAAGCGTGAAACAATCACCATGGAGTCCGAAAGTCATGGGTCCGCAATTCTGAAGCGTCTATAAACTAGTGGACCAACATCAAGCTTTTCTAGTCCTCCAGTGCTGCTAATCGAATGTCGTCAATCAAATTTCAATGTGACCACTAGCCTCAATGACTTGATATCACATGCACTATTTTTCTACCATGAGTGGTTTGATGTAGCTGGTAGAAAACTCTCTACTGATGAGTGCCAACTAGTACGAAACCTAGGGGGTGTCCAAGGTTCCTTAGACGACTACTATCAGCTGTCTAACATCACCATCATTCACTAAATTTAAACAAGTCAAAAAATCACTTACTAAATACAAATCAACCCACATGACCTTTAAAAACACACCATTTTTATAAGGACTAGTGATGCTATCCAATAGCACAAATCAAAGAACATGAAGAATCCACGTTCAAATTCTCAACCTACCACTACTAATTCTGGTTGAAAGTTGAATAGTATCGTTAATAAGACATCATTTCATGTTTTATACAACTTCACAGAAAGTGAATGCTGTATATACCTTCAGGAAAATAATCACATTGATTAACTAGACATTTAATAGTAATCTAAAAATTAGACAGTTTTTTGTTTTTTACCAATGTGTCTTTGACATGATCCTAAACTGGTGAAATATGCTTGAAACAGTAATACTGATCCCTACAACTCAGCGAACTGATACCTTAACGGTTATCAGTCCATATAGAATACCTCTGCAATTAAGCTGCAAATCAGAACATGGAAAAATGACATTCAATGTACTTTCCTAATCCAAATCACAGAATCATAATGCACTATACATAAACAACAAGCCATGTAACTAAGACGTCCACGGTAAAAATCCTAATAAATCAGGCCCACTAATTAATTGACAATAACTTCGAAACAGAATAAGATATAATGAAAGTTAATAAGTCATATGGAAGTGTTTAGAATTTTTAAAGAAAATAAAAATCTCACAAACTAGGCGTTTGGATAAATACATATTAAAGTAGTATATAAAGGTAAATCTGAATATATAAATACCATACATACGCTGCTGCTTAAAATGTTTGTAACTTAACAACAATATCGAGGCAATCCTCATAAGATGCACATATGCGAAAAGATACTGATCAATTGCAGTCCTAAACATCAGTGGGAAGATCCGGAAAATAAATGCATATACTAATTAAAATTCACCCCATTCCACAAGCTAGTGGCTATCTGAACTTAGTAGCCAAGTGGTTACCGCAATGGCGTTGAAGCAAATAGTGATGGTTTCGAGCCCCGAAATAAACACCAACTCACTCTGAGATCAGGCACATCCAGCTGACGAGTCCAAAATAGAACGAAACCCTCATCCTGGATTCCACTGGTAGCGACCGTCTATCACTGTTTAAATAGTGATCATGTTTTAACAAGGGTGAATAGTTATAAACCATAACATCGCGGGGAACAGTAGAAGTGAAATATACAAAGTACACCTTTTAAAAAAAATAGTACGATCTAACCTTTGCTTATGACAACAAAAAGGAAGAAGTTAAAATATTACCTGATGAGCAGCACCAGCTGGAATGAATACAGCATCACCATGAAATTGTACAATCGTACATGGTTGAATGCCCATACAATCATATAAACGATCTAATAATGATTGATCCATGTAAAATAATTGATCATGTATTGGATCACTGCCTGATTCCACTGGTGTACCAGTTTCACTTTCACTTACTCTTGATAAAAATTCTCTTAAACCATTTGAATCTTCCGGTAGAAATATATGCCACAATGCTCCTGGGATATCTATAACAAATGAATTAGGAATACATTTTTAATACAATCAAACCATGGAATAATAATAATAATAACGTGGAACCTAATGTTGAACCTCTAGAAATATTCCTGAAGCTCTAGTCAGAGGTAGTGGTCGGTAGACTCCAGCCATATTGGTTACAAAATAATAGGGATGCACATTGGTTTCCTGAGTATCGGATATAATTGAAGTCGGGAATGTGTAAATCGTTGGATAACGATCCAAAGATAATGAGCTCGCCATCATAAATTAAGACTTCATGTTTCATCTTTGTTTGAATCATGATGATACATTAGCGAAGAATTTCATACAGAATGATCAAACATATTTCTGGTGTACATTGATTTTCAATGAATGTCCAGAAAGAAAATAAGCTAACAAAACTGACTGATTTGTTAGTGCAATAAGAAGACGGAGATCATTGGAATTATGTGATATATTAACACAATATATTTCGAAACACATCATACTAGATAATGAATCAATATTACCAGGGCAAGTCTTTACAAGTATATATGTGATAAGATTGTTCAACTTGTATTACGCTAATATATCACATAGTTCTGATGACCTTTGTCTTCTTATTACACTATGCAAATTAATCAGAGTAACTAATTGTTTTAAATGGCTAACTGATAACGGTAAAATGAAGTCCAAACAAAAATGTACACTGACTGATCAGAGATCACTGTAATGTTTACCGTAATCTTTGATTGATGATCAAAATCTATCAATCAATATTAGTTTATGTATCAGCCCTACGGAAATTCAGTGGATTACCGAAAACCCACCAAAGTGGTAACAACTATGACTATGATACTGAGGTTAAACGGATTCAAATCTAACGAAGAGTATAAGTTCCCTGAAGATTTCAGATACACTCCTGGTAGCTAATGTCAACTACCAAAAAGTCTAGATCCAAGGATTCTCTGCTTTTATCCACCCAACATTAAATACAGATTTTCATAATACCGAACATTGACATCAAAACGACTACTATTGACTTTTAAAAAAGTGCTTAGGTATCTAGTAGACTACATTCATCAATTTTTTATAATATAAGTGATTTGATGAATATGAAATGTTCACAAATGAATAATGGCATAACCTACCTTCAGAGTTAGTTTCATGAGTAGTAGAAATAAAAGTAGTGGGAGTAGTAGTAGTAGTAGTAGTAGTAGTAGTAATATTGTTACTGTTAGTATTATTATTATTGTCATTAGCATGTGCATCATTTTGGTGTGATTTAATTTTATTCAACCAATTTAAAACTCTTTCTAAATAATTATCATCAATATGTGCACTTGTTAATGTGTTCACAATTGATTCAGCATTAGTTAACATTTCATTCAATGAATCTGTCGGTTGTCCCACATACAACATAACATTTACGGCATCAGCTATATCTACGTGCAAATTTGTTGTACTAACCTGCAAACAAAAGCAAAAGAAACAAGAAGAAAAATAGGTAAAATCAGTCGAAATGTGATGTTGGTCTAGAACTCAAAACAAATGTCTGTTGCCAACGTCCAAGTCAGAATTTTACGATACAAAGGGCAAGACAATTTCGTTGTGTAGAGCTGAAATATGGAGAACTACTACAGCTATTATCGAAAAAACGGTACAAGTAATTATAAACACTTCTCTATACGCGAGGAAATTGGGAAAGGACGCTGAAAGTGTATAAAGCACATATTGAGGAAACCATCAAACTGAATAACAAAACAAGCCCTAAATTTGGATCTCCAAGGAAAAAGGAAAAGAGGGGAACCGAAGAACATATCGCTCTGGGAATTTAAGGCGAAAATCAAAAGAATAAATAGCATTTGGGAACAACATAAAAAGAGAGCCTATGACAGAGTACGTGGAAGATTCCTGATCGGGGACTGATGCTGTATCTGGAGTAACTGGCATAATTAGGCTAGTAAGTAAGCACATGCTGGAAGGTGAAGGTGACAAGAGTTGGGCGAAAAAACCTGAATACAAGTTGTTATTTATATACCATTGTAAGTTAAGGTCAAGTTGGGGAAAATTTTCGGGCTGCTACTGATGATACTGTCTAGGAAGAGAATAAATATGTGATACAATTAAAAAGTGCAGCCAAGCTATAGGCAAAATAACACGAGTAATGTCTGTATTGCAATGATAGAGCAGATATCACTGGTACAAGAAATTTATGAATGAATTAGTTAAATTTTGCAAAGAACATATGGTTAGAAAACCCAATACAATGGTTTATCCTTGTCTAATTTTAGTAGGAAATCGAACTGGCAACTAATACTGATAATTATGTGGATGGGCTTACATTTGAACTCAATAGTTCAATATATAATATATTATGATTTAAAGCGAAAGTTTCTGGATTCAACTCCAGGTACATCAAAATGACAATTTCTAAATAAGACGAGACATACGTCTTATAATTTACTCCCGACCGTTGTTGCTACCTTGACGTGGTGGTCGGGCTTGCCTATCGTGATGAAGCAACCGAGCTATACTGGCTGGAACAACCGTTCCTCAAGGTCCTACCATGTCAGACAGGTCGGTTGAAGAGCGGTAAGACTAAAAGCAACAAACCCAAGGTCCGAAGGCGAAGTCGTACTGCTGACTGTACAGAGGTGTGACAGCAGTAAGGTGTTTCCTTCAGACAACCAGCATGACAGCGATGCTGCCTTCCCACAAGGAGGGGTGGGGTTAGAAAAGGTCGACCCTAAAAATGCACACTTCGCCTTATCCCACGGATATCCGTCTCCGGCGGTAAGGTCTCAATAAGCACGGAGCTAACACAGAAATTACCCATAACAAGGTCGTGTGTGACCGACCTCAAGCAGTTGTCCGTTGGGCACTGCGGTCACGCTCTCAGGTCACTAAGACCACCTTTAATCCAATTTCCTTTTCAGGTACCTCCAGAAGAACCCTTCCACGGTGTGGGCAACCGGGAAGTGAAAACCGCCCTCATACCTCTAACAGCACTCAAGACCACTGTATTCATAATCAACCTTCCTCTTCAATTCCTATTATTCCTCCTACATCGACTTTCAACTTTAAATTTCCTCTCTCGGCTTCCACCTCAAGTATCACCATAGCCAACGATTCTAGTGCGCAAAATACTGTCCCAGGTCTACTGAAACCTCGCTCCAAACTACACATTGGAGCCTTCAACGTACGAACCCTATGTCAAATCGGTCAGCAGGCTTCCTTGGCTAAAACCCTAGAGTCTCTTACCATTGACGTGTGCTGTGTCTCCGAAACACGCATACAGGATTCCAGTGTGGTCATTCACTTGACCTCACCTCGGCAAAACGGAGAGCCAACGAGGTACACCCTTCGTGTATCTGGTGACCCGATGGCAAGTTCTCGTGGACTGGCAGGTGTAGGCATAGCACTAAGCATGAGGGCCGAACAAGCACTGTTAGAGTGGATCCCCGTCAACAGTCGTTTATGTGCTGTTCGGCTGAACGGCTACGTAAGAACTCGGAAGGATAGGGACACACGTCGTTGCCTTTTTGTCGTTTCTGCCTACGCTCCCACTGACTGCAGCTCAGATGATGTGAAAGATGAATTTTACAGAAAGCTGTCCGAACTTCTTCAGAAAGCTAAACGCTCAGACATAGTACTCATAGGGGGTGACTTTAATGCTCAGATAGGTAGCTTAAACCAAACAGAAAGGCATTTAGGTGGATATTTTAGTATTCCGACACAGCGAACAGATAATGGTGATCGTCTGCTGCAGCTATGCTCAGACAATCGTTTATTTTTAGCAAACACAAATTTTAAGCATAAGGAGAGACATCGTCTAACATGGCGACCCCCTACACCAAACCAACGATGGACTCAAATTGACCATATTGCCATCAGTCATCGTTGGAGAGGGTCGGTAGAAGATTGTCGCTCATTCTGGAGTACCTGCTTGGACTCCGACCATTCCCTAATACGGGCACGCATCTGCTTGCGCCTCACTGGACGCAAAAAAGCCACATTAAAAAGACCCGTTAGAACTGAGTTGAGTAACGAGAAAACCAAAAGTAGGTTCCAAGAACAACTGAGGTCACACTTAGGTAGTTGTGAAGACGAGGCTGACCCAGATGTTGCTTGGAAAGCCATACAAACAGTTGTGGAAACAGCAGTGACATCTATTAGTGATTTGAACCACAGGGTTACAAAGAACCAATGCATTTCCTCAAGGTCTGTCACACTGATGGATTCTCGCAAACTCGTCCCATCAGGTTCTGAACATGATGAAGAGCGAAAACAAATCAGATCTAGGTTAAGAAAAAGCCTAAGAAACGACCGTGAGCAGTGGTGGGCATCGAAAGCAAAAAAGATGGAAAAGGCGGCGACTATAGGGAACACAAGACAGCTTTACAGACTAATAAAAGAAACTGGAATTAATAAGTCAAGTGTAAGTGAGATTATATCGGAAAAAGACGATACACTCATCTCCTCCAAGTCCAGGCGTTTAGAACGATGGGCGGAACACTTTAGGGAACAGTTCAGCTGGCCTTCAGCTACTCTACAACTACCCTCCATTCCCAGACAGTGTGAATGGAACATTGAAGTAGGTCCCCCAACTCTTGCTGAAGTTCAAAAGGCTATAGTTAATCTGAAACGAGGAAGGGCAGCTGGTCCAGATGGATTGGCTCCAGAGGTCTTTAAGGATGGTGGTCCAATTTTAGCGATTAAGTTGACTAATATTTTAGCTAAGATCTGGGAATTAGACTTTATCCCATCTGACTGGTCGCAATCACTTATCGTCCCAATATATAAGAAAGGGTCAAAATCATCCTGTGACAACCACAGAGGGATTAGTTTAACAAACATAGTATCTAAAATACTGGCCTCGATAATTATCAAACGCCTAACTAAGACTCGTGAACTACAAACTCGAGAGAACCAAGCTGGCTTTAGACCTGGTCGTGGCTGCATCGACCACATATTCACCATTCGTCAGGTTCTGGAACACAGGCATACCTATCGGCGTCCGACGATGGTGGTATTTCTTGACTTAAAAGCAGCATTTGACTCGGTAGACCGCGAGACTCTGTGGCAGTGTCTGTCATTGAAAGGCATACCTCAGAAGTACATAAACCTTGTGAAGGCTCTTTACTCGAACACTACTAGTCGAGTCAGAGCTTATGGCGAACTGTCATCTACTTTTGCAACCTCAAGTGGTGTCCGTCAAGGCTGTCCACTTTCTCCATTTTTGTTCAACTTCATCATAGACCTATTGATGGAAATAACACTCTCGTCGACTGAATTCTCGGGTATTGATCTCCTTCTAGGAGGTCCACTTATCGACTTAGAATACGCAGATGACATAGTCCTGTTTGGTGAAGACGCTGACAAAATGCAGAGTCTTTTGGTAGCACTAAGCAACAATGCCAGAATGTTTGGGATGCGCTTCTCTCCCTCTAAATGCAAGTTGTTGCTTCAGGACTGGTCTCCGTCAACACCTGAACTAAGGATAGGGAGTGAAGTAGTTGAACGCGTTGACAACTTCACTTATCTTGGAAGTCTGATCAGCCCTAATGGGTTGGTGTCTGACGAAATCTCAGCACGGATTCGAAAAGCTCGTTTGGCTTTTGCCAATTTACGTCACCTTTGGCGGAGGCGAGATATCCGTCTATCAATAAAAGGACGAGTATACTGCGCGGCAGTCCGTTCTGTTTTAATTTACGGCAGCGAAACATGGCCCTTAAGAGTAGAAGACACCCGTAAGCTACTAATATTTGACCACAGATGCCTTAGAAATATTGCTGGCATCTGCTGGGATCACCGGGTAAGTAATAGTGAGGTTAGACACAGGGTATTAGGGAATGATGGTAAATCAGTTGATGAGGTTATGAATCTTCATCGACTGAGATGGTTGGGCCACGTATTACGTATGCCTGAACACCGATTACCACGACGTGCAATGCTAACCGGGGTAGGGGATGGTTGGAAGAAAGTTAGGGGCGGCCAAACCAAAACGTGGCATCAGTGCCTGAAGTCACTAACTTCTAGTGTGAGCCATGTTGGTAGATGCAGACTACTTGGTTGGGGTCCGCGTGACTTTCGTAACCAATGGTTGGAGACTCTTGGTGACATGGCTCAGAATCGATCACAATGGCGTCGGTGTATACACTCCCTGTCTTCCCTTAAACTAAGAGACTAAAATCACTTCATTCTTTCTGTCTACGAACTAATTCTTTCTTCCTATACTATATCCTTATTGCAACCTTTGACCTAACCACTCCTATGAATCCGCTGTTCATCTTGCTGTGCTAATGAGGTATGGCAACCTGGACTGATGCACATATGTGCCTGGTCCTACGTTGTAGCTGACTGACTGACTGACTTATAATTTACTGTTATCCATTATTCAGTTTTAATAAAAGAAATATTTTTTCATGATATACAATCTGTAAATAAACATCAAGGCAAAATACTTTTTGGCCAAATTCCATTTTGTGCCTTGTTTTCTACAGATTAACTAACGTTCCATCAATACAAGTAAATAATAGTATTCGTCATTCCAAAAAAAATACACAGCAAAACATAATTTCAACGATACTGTTTCAAATCAAAATTTAGATATGATGATCAATACAACAGCAGCAACAGAAAAAGATATGAACAAAGCCAACAGGTATTTTAAATATCATCATCATCATCTATCGATCTATCCATAATGAAACCGGCCAATTTGGAATTAATCACACATACATATAATTCACACATCAATACACATACGTATGCCAGCATACATACGTACATACAGGATAATGTTTAATGGAGCAGACATAAACAAAGAGATTAAATATACATGTACAATGAAAATTAGATTCAAGTCCACATTGTGATAGACAGATACTATTTTGTAGCATACAAAACAAAAACTAGATTATGTAACGTTTAATAAATTGACCAATTATGCTATAAGTTCGACTGAAATTCACATCTTGTCGTAACAATAATGGCGACAACAAAGCATAAGTAATGATAAGAAATTAATTTAAACAAAGATTTGGACATTTGGCATTCGTATAATTTCGATCTCCCAACATGGAGGAACACTGAGTGTATGTACTTGATTTTGTTGGTTGAATGATATGGAAAAAATGATTGATAGACATCTGTTTTAATTTACTCAATGAGGTCAAAAGAAAGTAGAGAGATTATTAATAATTGATTCCTTCTATTTTAAAGTCAACACATAATAGAAGTTTGCCTTTTACATACACACAAGTACACGTACATACAAAAAGACAACCCACAAAATCCATATATGACTGATCCGAATTCATAGTTGTCATAATAAAACAAACAAAAATATTTTTTGGGGAGCTTTCACCACAGGGCGACACTAGTGAAAGTGTGATAGAAAATTATGGAGCACTGAACAAATGTCTTGTCCTAGTATGGGACACTTCAAGCAATGCGCTACAAAAAACCCACCAGGAGTCGAACTAATAACCCACTCAATTCGTGGCGAATGCTCAATCATTAGGACTGTTGCGTCGGCATTCACAGGTACACTTTTGTCTTAAGTATTTATATTTAAATAAAATAAGAATAGCAATTGACGCTGAATAATGTGATATCGTTCCTTGTCTGTAAAAGTTAATGAAATATTTACGTTAAAGCATAAAGATTGTATACTTACAGAACAAGAACCGACTGTTCCATAAGCCACATATAATTTTGGACCTAGATCGGGACATACGAAAAATGATGATAATCTAGCAGCTAAATTCAATTGTCCATCACGTTGTGTATAATTTGGCATTGGTAGATTTAACATTAGATCATTGAAACGGTTCGGTTGTAATTCAGCAAAATCATCTGTAGTTGGCCAATCTTTCAGCTTTAAACAAAGTGGACGGCCATCTTTACTAGTGATTCGACCTATAATTTTCAATAAAAGCCAAAATAAATAGGTAAGTTAATAACTGATATGCTATAGTGTCACTTAAAGACATCTTTTACAAAGTGTAAACAAAGCCAAAAACAGTGATTATCCCAATGTAAACAAAAATAAGTCATATTTATCCTAGCAAAATATTGTTCTGTAGCTTACTGGTTAAACAGCTCAACCATATGGAAAGGAACCGCCCTACACTGATAATAATCTTTTTTTCACTACTAGATAACTTCGAGATGTTATTCCAAGAGTTCCAGGAAGAAGCCTTGATCAATGGACTTCAACCATGTTGAACAGTTATTCACCACAGGCAATGGGTGGGTGTTGTACAATATCATTAGTTGATTAAAGTTAGTCAATAGCACCGTCAGATACAAACTCAGTGGTCTAGAAATTAAGCGTTCGCATGCGAAACCGGAGGCCCTCAGCACGGCCTCCGGACGCAAAGTTGTTAATAGGCACCGCTGAGGATTCCCACACTAAAAAGAATCAGTTTTTCAGTGCTTCCTGGCATTCACTGGCTACCTAAGATCAGTTCTTGATGTGAACTACGAAAATTATATGGTTACGTAATCCTACTCTGTGACACATTTTCTAGTAGTTTAAACAGTTGCGGTCATATCATTAGGTATGGAGTAGAATGTATGTGAATCAGTACTGAATAAACAGATATGTGCACCAACTTTATTATCATTATTATTATTATCTCTTCCCAAATTTTTCTTACCTAATTAATTATTATATCAATTATTTACCGTATCAATACTATCAAACATAATTTGTTTAAATACCGTAAACTACAAAATTGTTGTAACTCTGCCTGTAGCTCTTCTAGAGTTACTGCCAGTCCCAAGCCCGGGTAAAGGAGGAGGGTTGGGCATGGAGTTAGCGTCCCCATCCCGTAGAAAACTAACTCGCTACAAAAACGATTACCAGAAAAAATAACTCAAACCATTTAAACTCTGCCATGGGAGTTAGAAGGTCTTCATTTAGAAGAATTATGACGCTTCATGGTGAAAGCCGAGTTCCTTCGGAAGCCACGAGGCCGATGCCCGTTCTAACAAACAGAGCAACAATTTTTATAGGTACATGGAACGTCCGAACAATGTGGGAAACAGGAAAGACCAATCAAATAACAACGGAAATGAGGAGATACAACTTAGCAGTACTGGGAATCAGTGAAACCCATTGGACCCAAGCTGGACAGAAAAGGCTAGCTACGGGAGAGATGCTGCTATACTCCGGTCACGAAGAGGACAATGCTCCACACACTCAGGGAGTCGCTCTAATCCTGTCCAAAGTAGCACGAAATGCACTTGTAGGATGGGAATCTCACCGATCCACAATCATCAAAGCATCATTCAAAACAAAGAAGGAGGGGATCACAATGAATATTATCTAATGTTATGCACCCACCAATGATAGCAACGACGACATTAAAGATCAATCAGTCATAGAGAAGTGCCCAACAAACGACCTCACCATTCTGATGGGAGATCTAAATGCCAAAGTCGGAATAGACAACACCGGATATGAAGATATCATGGGACGACATGGACTGGGAGAGAGAAACGAAAATGGAGAAAGATTTACAAATCTATCTGCATTCAACAAATTGATCATAGGAGGCACAATATTTCCACACAAACGTATACACAAGGCTACATGGATCTCACCGGACCACACTACAGAGAACCAAATAGATCATATTTGCATCAGTAAAAAATTCGGAAGAACAATGGAAGATGTGAGAACCAGTAGAGGAGCTGACATAGCTTCAGATCACCACCTAGTTGTGGCCAATTTAAAACTGAAGCTAAAGAAGAACTGGACAACTGGACAAACAGCACTACAAAGGTTCAATACAGCTTTCCTTCGAGATACTGACAAACTCAGTGAATTCAAGATAGCTCTCAACAAAAGGTTCCAAACCTTACAAGATCTACTGAAAGAAGAAGAAACTACTATGGAGGACAACTGGAAAGGTATCAAAAAAGCATTAACTTCAACGTGTCAAGAGATTCTGGGTCTAAAGAAACACCATCATAAAGAATGGATCTCTATAGAAACACTGGACATGATCAAAGAAAGAAAGAACAAGAAGGCAGCAGTTAACAACAGCCGAACACGAGCAGAGAAAGTCCAAGCACAAGCTGGGTGGGATGGAGAATGCTGGTGAGCGGCCTATGCTCCTTCACGAGGAATAACAGGCGTAAGTAAGTAAGTACAAACTTGTTGTAATGTCATTTATAGATTTATTAATTTTTTTAGATTCTAACGAGTTAGTTCAGAGCATTTTGATTTCCGAAAAGACAACATTAAGACAATTCATATTTACATAAGTGCTAATTTAAAGACAAAAGATGCATTTTACAATCACGTTTACTTCTCTATAAGCACAAACAAATAAATAAACAAATACAGATGGGCCAGCGGATGAGCACGTGCGAACAAACATAAAAAAATACTCATTTATATAAATTTTTCTCCACCTCTATAGATAAACATATACATTATGCATTAATATAACTCATCTTTGATTAAAAACACTTATCATGAAAATTAAAAACGAATTGGCAGCAACTACTATTTATCTACCGATTGGGTTCTTTTTTAGAAAATTAAAATTTGATTATCAAATATAACTTGTAGAATAAATTACTTCCCTCTTTGCTTTCGGTGTTGGAGTGGGGTGGGGAAGAAAATCGAACGAAAGGAATAAGATATAACCAGCAAAATAAAAAATAAAATTCTATTTTTATTATGTGCACAGTCTAATATTTGGACAGGGAAAGTGTATATTCAGAACAGAATATTAATGTGACATAGTAATTAGTAGTGTTAACTTGATGAAATCAATAAAGTTGTCTTCTTTCAGCTTCGGAGCAAAAAGTTATATATGATCATTTGGTCCTTTTTTAACTGTTCTTCCCTTTCCAAACCTTTCACTATTATTTATTCATACGTTTAAAGAAATTTCTAACATGAATAATAATAGAGAGGGGAATTTATGACAACAGAGATTCTAATAATCACAAATAATATGCAATAGAACAGATTCAAGTGAAAACATGTATGTGAGATAATAAAAATAGAACATAACGTTGAATAGAGTCTGACAGTGGTATGATCCCACTTGGTAATCGTCAGCTGAATGCATCTGTATCCATCTTAGTGTTGATGTTTACACTGACTGATACTCTAGCCCCACACGTTTTGCTTCAAATGTCTAACACATTATCCAGTAAGTAACTGATTTCTGGTAGTTACTAACTTGTCCAAAAGGGATTAGTGTTTTGAACACCTATAACGAGAAAATTTAGTCTTACTAATAAAATCCGTGACTGTTGCACGAATTTGTGGATATTTAGAATCAGTAGCTCGGTGGATAATTCATTAGACATTTCGAGTGAAATTTATTGATCAGGTCAGAGTCTTATTGTGAACATCAACACTAAAATCCAAGTGAATCCAGCTAACTAGTTCCAAACAGAAAAATACACTTATCTTCAATTCCACTGCAAGTCATAATTCAAATTCAATTTAAAATGCTTGTGACTAAATGAGAATATCGAGGCAGTCCGCTCAGGATGTATATATGATAGTATAGACTAATCAGTTGAAGTCATTAGCATCAACAACCGTAGAAAAGCAAAAGCACTTACAAATGAAAGTAATATACTCTCGAAATGTAAACAAATAAAAAGTATAAACACACCACACGCACATATAAAGTGACGGAAACGCGAATAAACACTACTATACGAACTAATATACTTTTTCCGAGAAAAGCACGTCCGGACAAATTTAAAGACGTGCTTATGATATGTGCACAAGGTAGTATAGAGTTTAAGGTTAAATTTAGTTTTCGCCACAGACCAATAGAAATTATGGAATCACTGAAAATCTAGTGTTAATTTATGAACTGGTAGGTATTAAAAATATGGTCTATTGGATCCAAAAGAGGCGGTGGTTTTAGTGTAATATGATTATCGCGACTTGTACAGCTCCTTGTTTCATGCATTCTCAAGGTTTTGATTGTGTACTGCTCAGAGGTCGTGACAAAACTAGTATCAACCACTTCCAATTAGACATATTCAAAGTTTGACTGTTGATCAGATATTCAGAAAATGGAGTACATATATATCTCACTGTATATTTTTATATCATTTTTAACTAGTTTGTAAGTCACTGATAAAAACAGTGATTAATGCATCTTCACCTACAGCCTTGTCTTCTCCCTTACACCGAGTCACACCAGTTCTTGTTCAGTTATAAAGTGGTAATAGTATCACTATTTCACTTGAATACAATATAGATCACACAATACAATTTTCTAATAGTTAAAATAGTCCATCACAATGGAACAAAGTAAACTACTGAACCAGTTTGTAAAAATATTTATTGACTTATAATAATAATCTAGTAATCAGTTAATCATTTCAATTCTATTCCAAATGAATTAATTCATTCACATTAATTAATAAACAAATAGTAGGAGAGAGAGCGAGATAGAAAAAAAAACGAACAAGCACACACAAATCATAAATTGCTAAAACGAAAACATAATCACGTCTACTGATTAATCAGTGAAATAAAAAATTATTAGTGAATGTCGATGAAATTCTGGAGAGTTATTTACTTGAAGAAAATTACTGAAAATTAACTGATTATTCAGTAGTTATGTTACATAATGTAACTCATTTACTTTAGTAAATAAAGAAGGAACGAATTGAGCGAAGAAATTTCTTTTCAATTGGTTACTTCTTTATTTACCAAATGTCAAAATGGGAATTTTCATTTACTTTCATGAAGTATAAACCTATTTCTTTAGCTATGAGCTACACTTCATTTTTACAGTGGATACTAATGTTACTATTCACGAATGATTGAACCGGAGTAGATAGAAGTGGGAGATCGGTTCTGAAGTTGTAAATCTCACTGGATTTTCCTGTTTTCCACGGTGGGTGCTGTGCTGTGTCACAGTGGAATGTTCATATCAGATAGATACGGATAAATTCAGATTCTCGAAATAATTTTTCATGTACTCATTAGCTAGTGAGAAATAGCAACTTATATGTGAGGGTAAGTGATACTTCCCGGATGTTTAAACTGAATTAGGAGGGACTGGAAATTTGAATGTCTTAACCCTTAGCCATTCCACCAGTGTATTGACAGTGAGCGCTGTTTACATCTGTTGCGTCATAACTGGAAACTCTTAAGTACAGTACACCTGCAATCCAAATATATGAATCCTAAATTAGTTTATCCTCTACTTTTTAAAAATAAATTCGTCTCAATAATTTTCTCAGTATATATGTTAATAGGATTTTCTCCATATTGCATTTTCTGTGTGTTTATCTATCATGTATCAATCTAACAATCTATCTTCTCTCAATGATCTGTTGTTATTTAACTATGTATCTTTGTCTATCTGTCTGTTTTCTCCTCAAACATAACAACAGACTGGAGAATAAAAGAAAACAAATCTTTATTGATTAATACTCTTAGAAATAAAAGAAACGACATAATTATAAATTGAATTTTATGTTAAAGATTGAATCGATTAGGCATGATTGTATCGTGAAATGGAAGAGATAGTCAGTTAGTTTGTAGTGAACGAGAACACAAGTGGGGACAACCAAATGTATTTGAATATGAAATTACAGAACGTCTTAGTAAAATCTAAGAACCAAATAGTAAATAACTCCACCTGTAGCTCTTCTAGAGTCACTGCCGGTCCCAAACCCGGGTAAAGGAGGAGGGTTAGGCATGGGGTTAGCAATCCCATCCCGTAGAAAACCAACTCGCTAAAAAAACGCTAACCAGAAAAATTAACTCAATATAGTAAATACTTCATTTGCAAAATGTCAATCAATAGTCTCAGACTTCATTGTTCCTTCGTTTTCACACCAATCATTATCTGTTCATGTTCTCTTTTCTATTGTCTTAACCTTCTGCCGCCAGGCATTTCACTACCGATTGGTGAAACATACTACTTATATATATCGATATCAGTAGCATTAATCACAAGTTAGTTAATTGGTATTTCTACACCTTTTTAATTCAGTATTCAATATCAACTTATAGAGATAGACAAATAAAGTCAATGAAAAGTATAGAAGGCTAAGAGAAGAAACAATTAATACCTTATTCCTATTGATTTAATTCAGTATTGGTAAGTGGAATGTAGTCATATAAATCCGGCCTGAATAGCTCAGTGGTAAAGTGACGGACTTCAAAGCTGGTTGACGTCATTTCGAATCCAACAGGAAGCGTCAGTGTTCTCAAAGTTCCACGTTCGCCTCAATAACGAGTATTATTGGGCACAAAACCTAGGTCAAAAAGGGTTTCTTATCGACTATCGCCAACTATGTGACATCTCAACTATTTTACGCAGTGTTGAGTCACTTAGACTGGTAACCGCATTGCAACTTGATCAATAGAATTTGATCAGCATTATTCAATGATCATTCAATATGCCTACGATAACTACATACATGAAAAGCAGTCAGAAAGAGATGGATATGGACATAGCTTTCATTTATTGATCTTTAAAGCACTATGTATAAGTAAACCAGTATTCTTGTTTTACATTAAAACACTTTTTAACAATACACTCACACACATAAACAAACAAACACTTACGTTCACGTTTTTCGAAACCATCCCAAAATGACTTTAACGTATAACGTGTTATTTCAGCACCCGTGGCACAATCAATTAATGTGGTTTTCATATCACCAAAATCATTTGAAAAACTTTGTGGAGTCCATAATTCTTGGGTAAATTTACGTTGACATCCAGATATAACAAGCGGATGATTACGTCTCCATTCGGACTAGAAGACAGAGATTTGAGAAGATGAAAAACGAAATGATACGAAAAAAACAAAATATTTTAGTCACATATGTAAACACAAAATAATGTGTAATCCATACAGAGTAATATGTATTAAAAAAGATATAATAGACAAAACGAAGTACATCAACGAGGAGTAACTTTCCACAAAGCAAAAAACAAAATTGTCTTGTCAAATTGACATCAAAGCTTGATAACACAGTTTTTAAAAATATCACACAACATACTTTACATATTGTTGCATGAACGCTACCTATACAAGTGAGGTGGGCGACAATGGTCAAATAGATAAAAATGTCGCCTATGAACAACAATTGGGAATGAATATTACATTCGTCGTAAGCGTTTAAACATCTAGGATTGATGTATACGTATGTGTGTGTGTATATTGGTGTAAGTGATATTTCAGTTATTTACCTTTACATTGAAGAAAAAAACAGACAAAACTTCAAACTATCAACACTATTCATTTGATCAATATGATTAGTTTCTAGTTTTTAAAAGTAAATTGTATTTTATACCATTTTGTGATAAGACATGTTAACTATTAAGTGGTACTGTGTTTTATAAGGCTGATAATTTAATTGTGAACTTTTCATTGCGTCTCTAAACAGAAATCATCAGCCTATACAACTACATGAATTAGAAGCTGATAAAGTTGTCCAGAATGATAATGAAAGCTTCCCAGTTAAACCATGTACTTCAAAGAACAAAGCACTACCAAAAGCATCCATTTTACCTACAAAACTTCTACATTATTTCAAAATATTTTGATTAGCAAATAAATTGATGGATTAGCCGTTTTTTATACATTTTAGAAAATACAATTGACCCATTTTGAAAATTAAACCAATATTACACAGTATAAACATATTTCACAATTGTGCAATTCCCTTATTGATACATTGTAAATTTGACCTACCAGCTACATAGAAAAAACAAATGGTAAATATAATTAATACAGGTTCCGAACTTTTGAAAAAGAATCTAATAAACATCAATAAACGATAATACGCAATGAATAGAACAATAACATACGGCGACATGAATTCTAGTCTACTGATCTACACTATCGCCAAAATATGACATCAATCCGAGCCATTTACTATCGGCCTTAAAGCAAAAAACCTAACATCCAAGGGTGAAGCTGAGCCCCCGACTGTAATTGATTGTGACGATAAAGGAACCTTTCACCTATACAGCCAGCAGTTATAGTGAAACTGCCTTCTCACATCGGAAGTAAGAAGATGTAAAAAGTTGATCCCAGAACACCTCACCGTATCCCACGGATTTTCCTCGCTGGTGACAAGCTCTTGAAATTGTGGAGGTAACACACCAAAAACTATTCATATAAAGGTTGTGTGTGATAAGCCTCAAGCAGTTACCTATTGAGTCTAGTAGTTACAGCACAAGATCAGATTTCTTTTTAGATCCTTCAATAATTACTCTTCAACTATATGGGCTAACACGAAGTAACAACCGCCCTCATACTCAAGTAGTACTCCAAATATGGGCTGAGGAGTTAGAGAGAACTGATCTTCTTGGTTAGGATGTACGTAAAAATATAGTTTATGATCGGAGGCATAAATAATATGACTGCAAATCGTTGCCAGTGATTCATGTGTTCAGTTCGTTTTTTTAATCTTCATCTACATCTAGAATTTAAAAATTATTTCATGCTCTTTATTTTGCAATTGTTGTTGATGTCACGAACCGGCTTCAGTTAGTTAACCAGTAAAAACCACAAAACACTGACAGCTGTTTCGCCCTACTATTAGAATTTTCAGAAGTGTACATCCATGACTCCATCGAAGACCGATCCAAAGGCCTTCAGATCTCGTGGCGAAAGCTTGAATTTCGGATCAGTGGTTCATTTGTCTGACTTCTAACCAACTATCTTCGTTTCGAAGTTTCCACTAAATTCATTATAGGCCACTTTTTAATTTTTTGTACTTCATTTCATTGAATCCCTTCTCTTGCATTTCTGAGAAGGGACGTTTTGGTAAATTGAACCGAAATATACACTTGTGCTAGAATTTACATTACCTATAACTACCTAACAAACCATTTTTCAAACTTCTTCTACAGACAACCACATTAAATAATTATTGTCAAAAATTATCACGACGATCAGCAAAGAGGTTGTGGAGACTGTTGAGCTTATATTGAACTCATGAACCGATCAATGTCAAACCACCACTGAAAACCTGGAAGCACTGGACGGCCGTTTTGTCCTAGTATGGGACTACTTAGCAGTGCACATCTATGATCAGGCTGCTTCAACCAGTCCCCGATATTACGTGAAGTTAAACATTAACACCGTCGAATGCCGGATCAGTGGTTTAGAGGTTGAGTTCGCGCACAAGACTGAATGTTATGAGTTTGAGCCCTGCATGCGGGGTCGTGAATGCGTTCTGCTGGGGCGTCATCCAGTGCTTCTAGGTTTTCAATGATGGTTTTACACTGATCGGTTCGTGGTCTGAAGAAAAATTATCAAAATGTTAACTCGACCAAAAAAGGAACAGATAGGATTACCTCATTTATGGTCATCTCATGTACAGACCAAAAACGAGACTGTTTCCTCCCTATTCTTTAACGTGTTTAGACCAATTATGATGATTTCAAAAGACAATCGCATTGATTTATACTCAGGTATATACATAAGATATAATGCACATCAAATGGACACAGTTGATTACACAAAATTTGTTGTTAATTTAACCAAAACATTGTAAGTTGATTAATTTAATTTAATAAAAGACATGCATGAATGAGAAAATGAGAGAGTGCAAATTGAAATTGTTGTGATGGTATGAACTATGTTGTTTGTTTTCTTTTCAAAAAGAAATAAACAATACAGGCGAATGCTCACTGTGTTTTGATTTCAGTCATATTTTTTTCTTTGGCGAAAACTACAACAACAATCGTAATAGCTCAGAAGTAATAAAATCGATAAAGTATTTTAATTCTTTTTAGATATTACAGCATAAAAAAGGGTTTTTTTCTTTTTACGTACATAGCAAATACTTGTAGCATTGAATATTTATGGTCATATCGATAATTCATTTAGTGGTAGCAAGTCGGTTTTGTCAGATATAAGCAATGTAGAGCTTGGTACATTTATGTGTATTGGGTTCAAATTGACACACCATTAGCATAGCAAATTATCAAGACAAATGCCAGAGCATTAGAAATAGTAAAAGTATTATTGGTAATAAAAAAGGTCATCCACAGACAATAGTACTCGTGAAGAAAAAATGAAATTACTGAATAACAAGTAAAAGACAAAGTGAATGCATATGCGCCACTGTGGACCGTCTCATTGAATATCTGCAACTATTGAATACAATAATAGCTCGAACCCCAACCAGGTAGACTAAACCCAAGTATAGGGTTCAAGCCAATAGCCGATGACTTCATAAGATAAACCCATGTCTTGGTTTGGCCACAGCTAGCTATTTTACGATATGCACTGGCAAACACCGCACATCGAGGTAAGCGGTAGTTGGATTAAGCACATTGAATACATGGGATGTTTTTATAATCCTTAGCTCATATTGAAATCTATTGATCAAGTTACCATCTGATCACCGGTGTAAATGACTTCCCAGTGAAATAATTGGGTTCTCATCCTCAGTTGGTCTATTATTTTTCATGATAAGCCAATGGAGAATGGACACACTTGAAAAAATATCCACAAATGTGTACTTGTCGATTATAGTCACCTCGCTTAATCCAAGATTCTATAGTCTATAGTCCCTTGTTCTATCCAACAGAACGTTTCAAAACAATCCGAAACTGATATTCAGTACTCCCTGAGTAAGAAAAAGCACCCTTTAGTGAAAATATATCGATTTATTAACAGATTCCTACAAAAATTCATAAGTATTGCAAGGTTCTATTGTCTTAAACATCATCAACATAATCGTCGCCACGAGAAGAAGCAGCTAGAGATATCGACAATAGCCGTAATAAGTCACTTTACGTCTAAAATCATTATCATTATTATCACCATTATTTACTACTATTTCACCTCAGAAAATTCACATTCTTCCAGCTTAAATAAATTAAAGTAGTAACCCCTGGTGAAGAAACATATAATGATAATGTTGAATCAGTTTACTGATTAATCGATCGATATCCAAGGTATATTATTGTACTGCATTGATGAAAAAGATTAACAGGTCTGCCATGTATGTATACACATGTAGATATCTATCATATCAAGATTCATTTATAACACTATTGGTAATAGACATAATTATTACATCAGCTGATCCGCAATGACTGTTTGCCAAATTATATATATCTATGCATTCATGAATGTGTATGCATTTCGGTATGTATCTATGTATGTGTGTTTATTATTTATTTTGTTCATCTACATATTTTCCGTGTACAGATATTTGTATATAATAATATAAGATAAAATTAAACAATATATATTTTCATTGCAAAGAATTAGTTGAGCAGATTACAGACACTCCATGCATTTATTAAGGTGACAATAAGTCATGCAGAAGTTTTTCTGATTAACATCGAGGCGAATTCGATTTCAATAGAACAAGTTTAATTCTAAATAGCAGCCAACGGATTATAAGTTTTGTTCATAGAAATTTGTTGGCTAATCAGCGTTACTCAATACAGGCTAAATATTAAGTCCATAAGTATTCTGCTTTGGTATCTGCTAAGATTTATACAGTTAGGAGATAGTTTTCTCGTCAGCTGGTTGGAGAATCATTGAGAGAGGAAGAAAGATTAAGAACGTACCCATGAGAAAATATAATTGTTTCATCTTAGCACATAGAATATATGCTTAGGTTACTCAATTTGATATTTGACTACGGTTTAATCAATGTAACACAAACTAAAAAACGTCTGCTTTAGGAACCGTTCGCTTGTTTTTATTTTGTAAATTGGTTTCAATTTACTAATACTTTCTATTATAATCACGTTAGTTACCGACTAGCCTTCTTAATGAGAATATCATAACATAATCACTAAACAATGAATACTCGGAAGCTAGACAATCTCAAAAATAGGTTTACGTCCAGTTTTAGTCTTAAATTAGACGGAAAAAGATACAGAACATAAAAATTAAAATGGGGAGATTTTTGTGGATAAAAGTATTTTCATAGTTTAAATTGCGAATAAAACATAACTAAAACACCACTGAAAACCTGAAAGCAATAGGCAACTGTTTCATCCTAGTATAAGACTCCTCAGCAGCGCATAAACCAAAAATCCAGAAACTGGACCCAAGATCTTCGATCTCGCGCTCAAACGTTTAACCTCTGGACCACTGAGCAAGGGTCCAATGGTTTACAATCTAAATTCAATCAGTTTACGATACTGGGAAACCCTAATTCGTTCCCTACGGTGAACAACTGTTTCACACATGGTTGAATTACATTCGTCACGCCTTCTCACTAAAACTCCAAGAGTTTTATATTAAAGTTGGTCACCAGTGAACACATTATCATTATTAATATAAGTGAATTTCTGGAGATTTCGAAATTCTCATAGATTAAACCACGAACTGATCTTAGCTAGATGTGGGTTGCGTAATATCGTATGTTGATTAAAGTTACTCATTAACACCGTCGGATGCTAACTCAGTGGTTGAGTGTTTGCGCATGAAACCAGAGATATTCAGATCAGTTCCGGGGTGTGAAGTCATGGATTCGCGCTACTAAGGAATACCACGCTAGGATGAAATGACCCTCCAGGTGGTCTAGCTATGATCAGTTAGTGATTTGAATGGTAAAATATATTTATCATAAAATAACTTATCTAACATATATGTACATACATTGTGTGATAAAAATCATCTGTAAGGCCACTACTGACTTAAATACTTTTGAGTTACAAGAGATTCAACCACTAACCATACATTTGATCGCATCTTTTTCAGTAAACTACAATGCAGCTCAATTAAAACAAGAAAATGATTCTAATGTTTTTCCCTAAGAAACGATTGAACATCAAAAAATGAATACAGCTATTAATCACTGTCAACATATATTTGCACGAAAACAATACTCACTTGGAACGCCAATAAATTTCCAATGGAATCAGGACAATGTAAACGTAAGAAAACGGGATTGTGATGATGATGACGATTGATTATTTCTGAAGGTTGATAAATTTTCAAATTTGATTCTCTGTGAAAATCAAATCCATGATTATCATTATGCTTCGTTTTATGTTTAACAGTGATAGTACATGTATTAGTGATGTTAGTTGAATCATTCATTTTTTGACAACAGGACCTTTGATTAATATGCCTTCGTTTGGAATGAATCCAACTATGAGATGGAAAATCCATCATTATCATCATACGTTCGTTATTATTGTTGTTGTCTGATAAACTGATCCCATTATCTGTTGTTATAGAAGAAGGATTATTACGTGAAGCATTAAATTCTGTTTCCACAACAACATTATCTACAGTACCGTTACTACTGTTATTACTATTACCAGCAGTAAGTGGTCCAGTGTTCCCCATATCAGTTTTCAAAGCAATATCAGCTAGTAAATCAAGAGAATTACGATCTAAACATTCACGATTATTCAATGATTTCATTGGTTTCATGAATAATAATGTATCATTTGATGAATCTGTTGCATCATTACCCACTGTTGAGGAAGGAGAGCAATTACAGCCTAAATTAATTTTATAATAGTTCGCTATGCGATGCAATCGATGAAGTAATCGACCAATAATACCAGACGGTAACAGAGAAGTCAATAACAGCTTGTTTGGATCATGAGGTTGACGTGTAGTAGTACACGATGCCCAACCATATGGGCAACCACGACCTTGAGAAATTATTGTAACAAAAGAGAAACGACACCGGTATGATAATAATAATATTGTGAATAATCTGAATAATAATGAGTTTATCATATTACCTTGTACTTAATATTTGGCTACCACTAAGATTCAGGACAAGTGTTTCATCCTATCTGGGGCTCGTCAGGTGCGTGTACTACATCCCAGTGTAGGTGTTTACACATAGACTATTAATGTAATGAGATAATTCACTCAGGATGTACACATGGCTCAAGAGACTTATTAGCTGCGATCCTAAATACTAACACCAAGAAATTACAAACCTTTATTCATAGTTTCCAGTGACTGTTGGATTATCTAGTTTACATCACGGTCTGACTGTAGCTAGTTAGCCATTGAAAGGTGGGGAGCACTAGACAGTTGTTTCGTCCTTGAATAAGAGTCCTAAGTAATGAACGTCCACAAACACATAAGAGGTAAAATCCGGGATATGCAGACCTTACAAGGAGCGTTTGACCTTTAGATCATTGGGTGACATCTAAAGGCTTACACTTATAGCTCTAGCCAATCCATGATACTCAGCAACCACGGATATGCATTGCTCAGTGCTTCTCCGTTTCCAGTGATTATCTATCCAGCCAATCCGCAATGTAAACTGAAAGATTAACTATATAATCATGTATGAGTGTTTAAATAATTTTAAATTGCAAGAAAATACATCCAATTCTCTAAGTGAAAATTACCTGGCTAAAATTCAGACGTTGACACTTTTAGCCAATAAAACTACACTAACCGAAGTTGTGCAAGACAATTAATTTATAGAATCCCTGAAATATACTCAACAAATTGAGTGACTGAAGAAGACAACATGGACCACTAAATCGCAACTCAGTGGTCTGAAAGTAACCCACTCAATGAGGATTCGTGGAGGTTCGATTTGGGTTTCTTGTTGATTCATGGGTGCCCATTGTTGAGGCCAAAACAACTGTACAGTACGGATTGTTAACTATTTCACCAACTAGTGTCCATCAGTGAAGAAAAACAGTATATAGCCTACTCAATTGAATCGGCTGCCTCATGAAACACAACCATATTCACATAACTTTGTAAGGGATTGAACCGAGAAACTTAAAGTGTTGCGGAGATCTCACTATCTAACACCATCTAACAGTCCACATTCCCAAACGAAATCAATCACTTTAATCAGTGATTTACCTCTAGGTCAAATAAACAACTTGTTATTTAATTAGGTATTATGACAAGAATTAGAATCATGAGAAAAAATAATGGCAAAGAGATAAAATTTCAAAAAAAATTGTCTTACAAACCTCTTAAGTATTTTAATTTGCCTTTTTTTTCCACTGTACTATTTTCATTGAATTTCACATGATCACGTGTATCCGAATTGCTGTCACATACAGAATTGAATGGTTTCGATTCGTTCAAACAATCTGTACACACTGAATAACCACATTTACCACAAACCCAGTGTGTATTGAACATTGTTGTTTCACAGACATCACACATTTCACGTACACCTTTTACTGGCCTTTTCCATGCAACTGAATTAATAATGCCATCATTTTTGTTATTTGATTCCATTGTATGACCACTAATTCTGTTTTTACCAGTTAATGAGTTGATTTTTTCATTTTGACTTTGATGAGCATGGTTATTATTCAAACTTGTTAATTCTTGATGAAGAAGACGACAGAATAAGCCACCAGCACATTCCAAAATGTATTTAGCAGCGCATGTGCTTAAAAATGGTGAGACTGTGGAGAAATATGATAAAAAGATCACTAATCAGTGTTGAGGGAAAATGTCATCAATTCATTGTCTTTATAGTGTTCTGCATTTTAACCTGAAACCCAACCGTCTCTACTACCTTGACATAGTCAGGTTAGAGTATCACGATAATCCATCCGATCTATATTGGCTGAAGTATTCGTCCCATTGGATCCTACTATATCAGATAGATTGGTTAAAGATAGGAAAAACTAAGCCCGCGATCCGGGGGAGAAATAGTACTTTCTACTGTACTATGTTACCACGACAGTAGTGTTTTCTTTAGACAACCACAATTTACAGTGATTCTGCCTTCTCACGACAGGAGGATAAGGAGTAAAAGAGGTCAGCGGTAAAATTGACTTGGCCTGTAGATTTCGATCAATAGCGATAAGCCCTTAAAAATCCAGAGCTAACACATCTAAAACTATCCACAAAAAGGCCATGTATGATCAGCCATAAGCAGTTGTCCCTAAGATGTTGCGACCACTCTCTCAGCTCGTCAAAACCACCACTAACACAGTTTTCTCTTAAGGTCTCATCAAAAGTAACATCCTAATATGGTGAGTACATCCGGTAAAACAGTCGCATTCATAACTCCAAAAGCACTGAGAAATTGGATAGTCTAGTAAATTAACCCACTTCTTTATGGTTTAAATTAGCTGAAAAGGAAGTTCCCTGTCAATAATACCCCAGATTTAAACAACACAATTATTGCAGCAGATGATATGGAAACATAGAAACCATTTCCTCTTTAGTTTTTTTAACCAACCTATCAGATGTGATTAGTTGTTGGATTATAGTCCTTAAAGAATGAGATCGGTTGATAGAAGCTTAATAATTCCTGTTAACTTCTCATTTTACATTATTCTAAAAAAGATTACAACATGGACCAGAGTATCTCAATGTAAGATTACTTAGTGCTCAGTTTACTCGTATATTAGTCTGCCTACTTACACATAAACAGTGATAATGACTTCATTTCAAGACTAGAAATTGTGTTACAGTACCGAATTCTCATTATCACTTGTAAAATATCCCAACAAATTTCTCTTTAACATTCATTCAAATTTCAATTATTTAAAAATATAGATTTTATCAATGTCTCTCAATTGTCAGTTTATCACTCATCCTCAATCATGGAAACCTTCTATCAGTTTAACTGATACAAATAGGTTTCTTCCTCCATCATATATTACATGCATGAATTCCAATACATTCATCTCTTTTACCTTCAAAGGACAGATGATGCTGGCAAATCAAGCATTTCCAGTGGACTTTACTGCTATTTAAGTAGTGTGAATTGTCGTAACTGTTTCATTGAGATGCTTGAAAGCATATAGTTAGCGTTCATAATTATTCAGTTTGGAAAAATCTAGAACATGGAGGTTAATTTCAATATTTTCACAGTTACAAAGTAATTGCTCTAAACGATTGAGGACCGATCCCACCCATATCTATCTAATTATCATTCAAGCTCAGTAATTACTGTTATATGTATTATTTTCACAGAAATGAATCGAATCTACTACATAACACTTATGTACGGAATAATTACAAGTTGACAATAGTTAACGACAAAGAAAATTCAATGGTCAAGTATCATGTTTATACTTTCGACTTGTGATTTGGATCAGTTTTGTAAATAAGAAACAATAATTAGTACCCAGAGAAGACAAAGCTTCAGAAAAGTCTAGTGAAATACAGTTCGAGAATTTATAGTACAAATGATTGAAAATCGAAGAATCCTAAAACCTAAGTCACTAATATCAAATAAATATTGTAAAGGTCAAATCGTTTTATAAGTTTTTAAACAGTGGAGAAGCTTTCCAGCTTATATGAGTGTTCTTAGTTATATTGTGTTCACTAAGCTAGATAAACAGTTTAATTGTTTGAGCTTTGATTGTTGTTCTATGCACTTCTAATGGTATTAGCCAGGACAATAGTGAATACTTTGCAATTAAACCATCCATTTAGAACAAACAACACAATGTCAAGGAAATGTTTTGCAAATTTTCTTAAAAAAGAAGGTTGTTATATACGACACAACAACAAGAAAAAATCACATCAACACGATAGTGTGGATTTTAATTTCATTAAATTCAAAATGACATACATACACACATACAAAAAACTAAATAAATAACAATAACAGTGAGACAATTCATACAATAAAATTATGTCCATTACCTGGATGATACATTTCCCATAATGAACGTTCTAAAGCATCGGATTCAGTGGATCGACAAAAATCAGCTATTTTCAATACACCTCTATGATTATAACATAATCTGGTGTTTTGTTCCATTTCATAGTTGAATTTTGTGTTTATTTTGTTTGTTTTAAACAATAGAAGGGAAAGAAAAAATCAATTATCATTTTTATGTTAATTAATTAATAAGTCATGGAAACTATGCATTATTAGTTACAACAAAATTGGGAAGCAAAACATGGCGGGAATATTATATTCTTTTAATGTTTATCCTTTTAAAATTAATAATTATGTGAACTGTTAAAAAGGAATAGTGACAATATTTTATTTAAAGTAACACGTGTCGTTGAATTATTATTTCTTGGCCTTCCTCGTTTCCGTTTCCCTTCAGAATTCCAAGTTAGAGCTTTCCTCGTGAAGCAGTTTAATGATTTCCACAATATATGTCCTATCCATCTCCAGTATCTTCTAGTTTCCTCCTCAGTTGAAAGCTGGTTTGTCCTCCCTCACAGTAGGCTGTGAGTGGGACATTTGTAAAGAGAGAAGTGAGACACAATGAGGTTGTCTTTCCGCCATTTACTTTGATGTCGAATCGACGAAATCAATTTATTTTCATCCTTTTATTCTTCTCAACCCCCCACCCAATTATTACGTAACCGCATTTGATATTCAGAGTCTCGAATCGCTTTATGATGCAATCTTTCAGATCCTCTTATAGACATGTATTTACTATATAATTATAAACACGAATGTAGAGTTTTAGTAAATGGTTTTGTCGGAAAGAAAATTTTCTTCTCTGAATTCTCCTTAGTTTTTTATGCTTTTTTCATATGACCAACTTTTAACATTGATTTATCCACATGTATTATAATAGCAGTCAACATCAATGTACAGACTGGAACATATGTTTGTTGGCTAAAGTCACTAACTATATATTAAAACACAATAAGATGAAATTAATAAAATCAATAGCGAAAGAGGTCGAAATAGTGTAGTAACTAGTGATAACAAGAAAAATAAAACAGAGAATATGATTCGAAAAGACGGAGTGGACAAGTATGTATGAAAGAATACTTAAATTAAAGATATAAATATAGAATGAATGTATATTCGCCATTGTGAATAATCTTGGTCCCCATCACCCAATATATTGAACCATTCTAACTATTTAATATACATCTGCACACATGGTTCAGACCATCAGTCAATGAATTCATGGATTAATGTTATTTCTTGGTCTGGTTGCTCCGGTCTTAATCTCATGGGTTTGGGAGTTGCCAGTTGCTTCATTATTAAATGTAAATACATTTTATATGCTTAATAAGTTTACGACTCAGCTTTCCTCACATTTTCCTTTCTCTTCCAGGTTCTTTCTCATAAAGATGGCTCTGCATGCTACTCTTCCCACATCAAACAACATACCTTCACGCTAGACACAAATCTACCAAAATTTGAATGTTACAATATCATCCATTATATTTACTTACAATATTGATTTTGATAATGTTTGAATTTATTGTAACCTTGACAACAATTTTTAGTAAACTATCCCTTAGCAATTGGATAAATAATTGACACCTAGACTACAAATTCGACAAACGAATACACATAATGTATTTGTAGCTATTAGGTTATAAACTGGTCGTCTGTTTCAATTGATCTCAACAAATTACAAGCTCATACACCCCAGGTTTTGAGTTAACCTGTTTGAACCTAGGTTTTATGCTAATTAAGGCTAGTCGCTGAGGTGATAACCAATCAATAAAGAAGCCTATGCACCACAGAATTTTAATAGCTATCCGAAAAGTTCAATAGCGATATCATAGACTGTAAAACTGAATATGAAGGGTTTGAATCCTACAGGGAGTATCATTTACCCCCACCAAAGACGGCATATAAGTCTAGTCGATGAGTACCAATCAGTACGAAACCTAGGTGTATGGTTTCCTTTCGACTATTTCCAACTAACTAATACTCCTTGATAGCGACCATTACCCGGGAAGTGTAGGCAGATACTTTTATTTCATTTCATACCTAGCAAGACATGAGACTATTCGAAGATCGACCAGTCTCCGAGGCTTAAATACATCATTGATCATATTTTACAGGTTCAAAAAGATATCATTATGATAATTATATTGTGTTGTAATTAGAGTATAAATATGTAAAATATAATATTGGTTTTCTAGCATAGATTAGATCCGACATCATTTTTTGTATATGATCAAGTTCTCTGAGCAAATTAATACCTTTAAAAAAATAATAACTAAATGACATTTCAAATTAGAACTGTGCAAAAAGTCAGAGTTAATTAACTGTTTAATAGGTTATAGATTAGTATACAATAAAGGAAAGATCGAGACAATAATCTCTAAAGTATTAGCATTAAACACATTACCCTACATTACAGTTGAATGATGGGCTAGTAGTGAAATCCAGTAAGCATATTCGGTCCTATTCAGGACAAATTAGATGGATCCACTTACACACCAGTGTTGATGCTCATGGTGAAAATAGAAACCTAACGAGAAAATTCAGTTTACCAATAGAATCCGTTACCGTTGCACGAATTCGCGGATATTTAAAATCAGTAGCTCGGTGGATAAGTCATTAGACATTTCGAGTGAAATTTATTGATTAGGTTAAAGTCTTATTGTGAACATTAACACTAAAATCCAAGTGAATCCAGCTAACTAGTTCCAAATAATTAAGATGACAAAAGAAACTCAAGAGGTTTATTGTGGCTTCAAGTGATTATATTATAATGTGAAATGGACGCATACTTCTAGAAGACATCATGATATCCCTGAGAATCTCCAGTTGAAAATGTGAGTTTCCAGGTCTCAGATTCAAATGTGCGACTGCAGTTTAAATTGTACAAAATTATTGAGTTCAATCAAGGTTTATTTAGAAATATTATATTTCTTAACAAATTAGTGTACAGAAATGTAATGATAATCACAATTTGCTACTTGTTTTTAATTTCGATCATTTCATTTATCAATATTATGTCACAGTAACACTAAAATTATTGACTATTCTGAGAATAAAAATTGGTAACAAGAAAATGGTTGAGAAACCAAGCAGCTCTATATTTAACAACACTCACTTTCTAAATCCCCAAAAACGACAGAATACTGACATTGATGGATGTGTAGCGTTTCGTTTATTTTTCGATTTATCAGTGGTACTTTCTTTACGGGTATTTTTAGCCAAAGTAGTTCTTCGACCAGGTGGTTTTTTAAATTGAATATCTTTAGTCAATCCATTCGAAAAATTTTGATTATTGGTTGGACTAGGGACATCACTGATTATAAGTTTCGGATTCTCTTCATCAACATCATCATCATCTGAATCGATTTGTCCGTTTGTATGAATTAAAGGTGAATTATGGTAGGAAAATTTAGTTTGACGACAAGCACGACATTTCGGAACTTGTTTCAATCCTGGATCATTACAATTTATAAGTTGAACAAAAACACGTTGACTTCGCTTATAAAAATTTAATGAATGTGAAGAGTGTAGTGATTTATTGGCTGTTCGATTCACTTTGAGGAAAAAAGAAACAATATCAATAGATTAGTCATAAATGCTATTGCATAAATTTGTTATACCTTTAAGGAAGAAACTGAAAGAAAGAAATAAATAAACGGTGAAAACGAATAACAGCTACAATTATGACATACTATTCACTTCAAAATCAGTTAATAAGGTTGCGTATCTTCATTCACCGAGGTGGTTGGGACATTTTCTACGTATGCCAAAATATCGTCTACCTCAACAGGCACTGTGAGCTGGTGTAATAGTAAGTTGAAAGGAATCTAGTAGAGGTCTTACCAAGACGTGACAACACTTCATGAACTGACTGTTGATCTGAGCCATGTTGATGTAGATACAAATGGAGTGGTTGGGATCAAAGTGAATATTGTGACCTATGGTTGGAAATATGGATGACATGGATCAGAATGTGGCAGTGACGTAGATTCATTCGTTCTTAATTTCACTCTACATCTTCAATCCAAGTATTCCTTCATACATACTTGTCCACTCCGTCTTTTCGAATCATATTCTCTGTTTTATTTTTCTTGTTATCACTAGTTACTACACTATTTCGACCTCTTTCGCTATTGATTTTATTAATTTCATCTTATTGTGTTAATATATAGTTAGTGACTCGAGCCAACTCACATTTCCACCAGACTATACAATAATCATAATTATCCAATAAAAAATGAATCGACAGAAATACTTATAAGAGGACCCATAACCTGTGAAATACTGAGTCAAGAAACTGGCACAATAACTGAGAGATAACACTAGCTCAAAGTCACAAAAAACTCATGAACTGTTTCAAGTCGAAAATGTAAGCCGTAAAATTTGAAAGATGTAAGAGTTCTAGGTTCTATACCACTTAAAATAATATATGATCGATGTTACTGAATTTCAGGATACGATTAAGGAACTATTTATTTATTTATGGTTGTCAAATCTCCTTGATTTGACATCGGTCACTTTGCTAATTATTAGTGAAGTATAGGGGAAATATATTAAGCTCATAATCTATAATTGCCATTTTGACGGATTAAAAATATTATCCCTACTGTTTAAATTCAAAAGTATAAAATAGAACTAAATTTCAAGAAATTACAGAAAAGAAAAATAAAATTTTTAAATTATTTACAAACAGAACAGTTCCTTGATGACTGCCAAACTTTTCTACATTATGTCTACGCCTCTAAAGTCATTGCCCATCTACATCGATTTGAAAACCTCTCATAGTATAAGTATGACTCAGAAACGAGTTCACAGATTCGTACGTGCATTTAACGAGTTCAAATAGTTTAAGCTAATCTAAATTGTAGCTGCTTAGGATGTAGTTATCGGGCTTATACATCGTGATGACTTAATTGAGCAAGCTGCATTAGCTACCGAACTTGTTAAGTGTCATACCAAGCGGGTTAGATGGAGAGCAGTGAAGCTGACAGCAGAAACTTAAGGTCCTAGGCTGAAGTCGTGCTCCTGAATGTACTGAAGCTTAACGAAAATGTGGCATTTCCCCATACAACCCACATGTGTAGTGATACTTCCTTCCCACAACGGAAGAAAGAGATTAACATAATTGACAGTAATAATTCATTGAATATGTGGATATGAGCCAAATTCCAAGTGTTGGCGCTAAAGATACTACCCAGTTGCCAAAGCCGTAATAAGTGAAGCGGTTGAAGGTCTAACACTTTAACCACTAAGCCTCCATTCCACAGCCCAACAGATTCCCATCACCAACCATAAGGTAATAAAAATACGAAGGAATCAGACCAAACACTACTCACAAAAAACTGCGTGTAACTTGTCTCAAGTAATTATCTCTTAGACGCTGCATTCAAACGCCAAGGTTGACAAGACTACTACCAACTCGGTTTCCTTTTTAAGTCGCTTAAGAAAAAGTATCATTCCACAGTGTAAGCAATCACGAAGTGACAGCTTCCTACATATCTCTGTTTAAAATGAATGAAATAAATCATGAAACATTAGTTTAAAATAGTACAATAAAAAACAACGTAGATAGATAAATGTCATATACTTTAGTGATTTACAATCACTTACAATCAGGTGGCCCAGGAAGTTGTTCAACCAGTTCTTCAACTTGCAAATTTTCTTCAGCTAAAGCAGCTGACAATTCATCTGGCGTAGAATTTTCATACATCAATGTACAACCATCTTGATCTAATAAATCTGTCTTAAATTTCATACATACTGTTGAATCATTACCGTCCTCTTTATGAATGGTAGTTCTTGACTTGCCGTTATCAACACGTCGATGTTGTTTCGATGACGTTTTTATTGGTTTTCCTGTCGTTGTCATTATCGTTGTCTTCGTGGTTGTTAACGATGATGCAGATGACAGACGAGGCTTTTTTGCTGTTATAATTGTCGGTCCAGTTGTACTACTAGATGATACAGTTAAAGTAGCTGTTCTTTTCGGTTTCCTTAAATTATCACCATTACCAACACCATAGACACTCTGTGCACTATCCATGGATGAATGTGTAATACCAGGTGATCCATCACTTGAATTTAATGATTGGCTATTATTATTAGTGATGGTATTAGAATTTATTGTTAAATATTTTAAAGTAGATTTATATGATTGTAGTCTTGAATAAGATAAGTGACGATCAGTGGAACATTTTGAAGGCGTAGTATTAACAGATGAGTTTGATGAAGAATTCAAACATACATCATTATCATCATCACTGACTTCACCGTCAACACTTTGTAAACTAGAAGGACTACTACTATTACTGTTATTACTACCTGAACTAGTGCTTCTTTGAGCGTGTGCCGTAACCATCATCATAAGATTACCATTAACAGCAGCTATACGTTTTTTTACATTACCTCTAATTAAATCACTACATAATGATGTATGTGATAAACTTGATGTACTATTTGCACTTGAGCTATGCTTCCTTGAACGTCGTCTTCTAATTGTCGGTTTAATTCTTTCATCATCAACCTCATTATCATCATCATTGTTCTCCTCTTGCTCTTCTCTTACTTCTTCATCATTATTATCATTAACAATGACATCATCATCCTCATCGTCATTAGTGATATCATTGAATTCTAATTTTATGGTTGACAATTGTTCATTCATACTCAATTTCGATTCTACATCATCATTCAATGAATGTTTTAATCGACGTGTACTTTTTGAATTAGATTTTCTTAAAGAACTTAATGATTTTGTACGGATTTTAGTTGGCTTATTTTTGTTTGTGTTTAGGCTTAACATTCCATCTGTTTCATATTTAGTACGTTTTTTTCGTTTAAATTTTCTCTCTTGACAATCTAATTTTTCTATCTGAATAATAAGAAAACAAAACCAATCATAATAAATATAAATAAAATGACTTATGAAGGAAAATAAGTAAACTTAATGTCATAAGCACAAAACAAACAAAGAGATGAAGTTGAAAAGAAAAATCTATCTAGACTATACAAGATAATAAAGTAACGTCGATCGTCACGTTCTAATAATCACAAATATCTATATCAATATAAAAAGACTTATACATTTGAAAGCAATTTGCAGACAGTTCTGAATGTAGATTTCCTTCTAGCTCCACTCATCAGAAACGCTACACTATTTCTTGAGAAGACTAATGATTCTCGCGAGATTCAAATCTGTCCAGCCCAGTTTTACATGAAGATATCTTTTCCCTGAGTTATTAATGTAACGACTGACTTTTGAACAGTTACCCTATGACCAAGAATAGCGAATCCAATTATAATTCACACAGACTGTTGACCACATCGCAACGATCAACAACCTTAAAGAACTAGACAAGTAAGACGTTGCTTACTACTAAGTCGATCAATCACTGTAAAATCTTGTCAATTATTCCAATTATATTTTAAATAAGAAACAATGCAACGTTAAGGATACAAGTAATATAAGTTGAATATGTTATAAGAACCAACAATCCAATGATTGAGAAGTAATTAAGTGAGAGAAAAAAAATTAAATATCCCCTTAAGCAATGACAGTATGGGAAAATCATTTCAACAAATACTATTAAAGCGTTAACGTGACTAACAGTACATATATTTTCTTCTTTAAAAAACTGAACTATTTTGGAAGCGACACTGTTTCCAGTCCCTAGATAGTTAACTTACTAAATTATTCAGCCCCAGTGTAATATCTGGCCTGGTTATGCTTAAACGAAGCGCCTTTTACAAGATTGCCATTTTCTCGATGTAAATAAAAAGTTTAGTTAGAATGCTGGGAAGGCTTAATACTGGAGAGAGTTATATCCTGGAGACGTGTAACTGAGATCTCAGTGTAATAATGCTAACAAAATTTACAACTGTTTACATAAATTTATCTTAAAGTGAGTTATCTAACAGAGTTTAATGTGTTCTATTCTTCCTTCCCTAGAGCCAGTTTACACAAAGAGCTAGAATCGGACTTTCTACTAGTCACTGGTAACCCCAAGTTATGATCATGAGTGTTCATTCTGGCTGGAAGACAAAGCGAAAAGTAACGTAAAAACCGTGGTTTTTCTCTGTTTACGCCTCTTCTCAAGACCAGTAAAGAATGAACTCAAAATATATCTTGATGCTGCTCAGTGATCTCAATGAGTCATTAAAGTTGAAATACAGATGACTGTTCAGATGACTAATGGTGTTCATTTTATGTAACTTTAGACAGGTTACAATATATATATTTGACTTGTTATCAAACCATTACTAATGTTCAGAGTCATCTCCAAATTATTTCATTCCAAGAAATCAATATAAACGTGGGTGTATACAAGACCATCATTTTTTTAAAGTGTCTAAATTTGGACCGCGCTCACTCCCGATAAAATTATTTTATTTTACATTAATAATATGTAATATGTATGATGTGTTGACACCAATTAGGATAACAGTGAAAACCAGAGAGAACTGGGTGGCGTATCGATAAACTGACCAATGAGAGAACCCAGGCACTTTATGTTTCACGGAATCTAATGATTCACACTCTCAACTTCAATCTAATAAGTAAGAATTAATTAGCACACTGCTGTAGATTTAAAATTAGTTGATAATTTATTAAAATGTATGATTTAATATGGAATACGCTTGAAATAAGTCAAAAATATATGAGAACTTTCACCTTCTAGGAACGACTGTCAAGTAAGAATTACGTTTGTACGAGTTTTTTAGACTTCCTTCATGTGTATCCATCTACTTCTATAAATGGCTAGTGTAATCAAACCTACATATCTCTTAGGTAGAGATTCTCAGCATATCTAGACCCACTAAAGCCAACGGCTGTAAAACTCTGCTAAGATGACAACAACAGCTACCTCTGAAAATATTCAGGAACTGTTTCAATTCTTGGTGATTTGTTTTCTGAATAAAATGGATGAACTGCAGAGTTTTCATTGTCATTCTAGATGACATTATCAATGCCTACTATAAAAACACAACCAAAACAGCGAAACCCCTGATATCAGTGGGCGATCTATGAATTATGTGCAAAAAGGTTATCCGACTAGCCTAGTATACTAGAAACCTTATCTATAATTTGTTGTGTTTCTAGATCAGGTGATGCTAACCCATCTTATAAAGCAAACATTCTACGTAACTTCACTGGTTCATAACTTAATATATCAACATCTGTCTGAATCCTCAAGTAGTGTATTGCATGTTCAACCCGTCCCATGATAAGTAGTAAACCGTGTGAGATAATGTGTCTGTGTATATGGGATAACCATAGATAGTATATTTTAATACAATATAAATATATTACTACTAACGCGAAACGGAATATTAGATAAAAGCTTACATTATCTTTCATTGCGATCCGGCTTTCAGGCGAATATTGATTGTTTTTTAAATCATCTGCATTAGTTGATCTATTATGAGGTTGAGAATTATCCATAGGTAGTTCAGTCTTAACAAGGTTACATGTTGATAACTCCGATGGTTTCATATCTACACGATCAGCTTCATAACGTTGAATAAGTCGTTTTTTCAGTGGCATTGAAGTGTTTTGCGATCGATGATCTGATATATTAGTAACAACAGAAAACTTTGTTCGTGTATACTCTTGTTTAGGTTGAGGCAACAAAGTTGGCATTACACTTGGTGTACCTACTAAGGGATGTTGTTTATATTGTTCAAGTAGCATAGATCGCTTTCCTAGGCAGTTATTAATTCGATTACTTTCTACGTTATTAGACCATTCAATGGTATCATTATGATTAGTTGAATTTGTATTCGTAGATAAAAATTGTCCACATAAAGAATAAATAGTTGGAGATTTTCCTCCAGAAAGCGCTGAGAATTGTGACTGGCTAGAGTTGAGAATTCTAGTTATTCCGGCATTTGGAGATGAAGATTTGATTGTCTGACAAGATGAAATGGGCGATTCAGTCTGTAGGGTGGGTCCTTTCGGATTGAAATTCACAGGAATATTAGGACTACAATGACCGGAAGTTGGACTTCTAACAATAGATTCAGAAGTAACAAATGAAACAGATGATAATGACGAGGATGAACTGGTTGTTGCTGCTTTGGTATGTGATTGGTTTGTAGAAAATGAAGATTCAGAAGTTATATTGGAAAAAGAAGTCGATACCAAGCATACTGGTGACGAGAAAGAACTTGAAGATCTAATTCGATTTGCTTTACTCATAGGTATATTTTGAGTCATTGTACAAGAAGGCCAATCTACACTTAAAGATGCTAATTTTGCATCGTGTAGTATAGCCAGTCTTGAATCGGCTAATTCAACTGTATGATCATATGGACTAGGTTGTAATTTATAAGAATGGGAAGAATCTGTTGAGTAAGTCCTTTGATCAGTTTTTGACCAAGGTGGACAACACATATGATCGTATTTGTTCATCGGTTCATTTCCAGGAGTTGAAGAACGTGAATTCAAACGATTTGTCAACTGATCCATTGATCTTGGTAAAGAAAGACTATTTTTCATACTAGGATGTCTTATATCAGACATTGTTCCTGTTGAAACGGATGGGATTGTCCTAGTATTGGTCAATGACAAATCATTAACTCTTCGTGATTTACAATCGGTTCCAGTCCTTGGGATGAAAGTAGGGTGGGGGCAATGAAGTAAAAATCAAGAAAATACAAATTATAATTTAATTTAGTGACACCCTTTAAAAGCCTCTACCAGTACAATAAACAATGGAACTTACTTTTACTACCTAAATGCAACAGGAAAATTACAGGTGAACTGTGGAAGTTGATAAATGTCATGAATATAAACAACTAATATTAATTATTTATTCCCTCGATTACATGAATAATTGTTATATTCCATTGTTTAACTTTAACGTGAATCCCTGATAAATAACCCACTATCAACAGTTATATGTATATAGGTAAACTAATTTACGGATATTTTGAGAGACGTCTTTCGTATCTAAAAGAAGGATAGAGCTAATTCTAAACTTATCCTGTAGTTAAAGAATCACCTGAAATATTTTCTCCTGACCCAATAGATAGATGAGATGGATTTAATGTTATAATAACAGTTGTAGACCATAATTTAATTATCTCGAAGATCAATAAAAGAATTATAATTAATTGTTATCCTCAAAGTTGACCAGAAGTACCAAATCAGAGCAAAGAACTAGACAATACAGCACTATGGTTATTACTTTAACGAATGAATAGTGTATAAGTGCCAGTCTTCAAACATGAATTACGCTCTTGAATAGCTCACTGGCGAATTCTCTCACTATAACACTGGGTAGAAAATCCATTCTCTCAAAAATGAAATTTTTAAAAGATAACATCAATCAATCCAAGATATGGAAAACAAGCTCGAACATAGAAGATAAGGAATAGTAGAGAGTTTAACATTATTCCAATATGTCACCTCCTTCAGTCTAATTACTCCAAGACACATATAACCAAGCTAATAAACTAACCAATTTATTAACAGGGCAGAATTTTTTATATAATACGATCATATTATTAAGCTGTTTTATATATAGAGAAGATTAATACATATTCAAACCATAACTTAAATGCAGGTCATTTTAATAAGTAATCTAAATAATGTAAATCTACATGTTATTAATTAATTTGTAAACAAAAATCGAAAAAAAATAGTTGTGTGGATTAATTTTTAAAATATTAACGATTTGTAATACACGGAGTGTTCTCGTAATACTACTAATTTGAGTAATAATAGTAATAACAATAAAAATACTAATAATATTTCCGTAATCAAATCCTTACTAATAACGATATAAACATTATGCCCGTTGAACAAAATACTTATTTACTACCCAGATGAGAACATTCACATTAAAATGCAATTTAATCTGGCTGATAAGTTTTAAATAGGATGAAATGTGAATCATGAATTCCAGGCCTAAGTACAATTCATTTACTCTGTGAAATCAGAATACGTACTGTTTATATACTTAGTCAGAGACATCATTCTTCTTAAACAAACAGTTTTAATGGTATCATCATTGATAAATGGAATAAATGAATGAATACGACTTGTCGACAGTGTGAAAAATTCAGTTTAAGTTTTTTCCCGATGAGTTCTATTTAAACACTTGCTAATAAATAAATAAATAAATAAATATATCAAGTCTATATCTGATCAATAACTATCACAAACAAACCGTATCCAATAAATCACAAAAACATCTCACATTTTTTTAGAGGAAGATTTAAACATCTTTATATATATATACATATATATATATATATATATATATATATATATATACATATATATATATATAGTTCTTTTTGTAAACTAATTTGTCTCTCGTTTTCATTCCTTTTTTTGTTTAGTACGGTAATGAATATTATTTTGAACTAGTTAATAGACATAATAAATACTTTATAGTCGCTCCACTACTGCATACTTATAAATATGCACATAGAAGAGAGATCACGTGGCGTGACAATATGTGCATAATTATATATATTAGTACCGATGTGTTCGTTTAATTATACAGCTCGACATTCAAACACTAAATATCAAGTTCACAATTCCCGTTCGATCTAATTTAGCTAAGACAACTGGATAATATCAGTAGTCATCATCGAACACATATGCGCGTACGCATACACACAAGAAAGTGTAACTCAAATCCTGGTACACATAAGTCTGTACTCTTGATAAATGAATTTCACTTTACCAAGTATACGATGATTATCTAATTTAAATACAGAAAAACATGTTTTCATTTACATTCCTCAATAGAAATTTTTACAAATTGTCTACATTTATGAACTCTGTTCACTCATGTTCATAAATCAAATAAACCGGTATGTGTATATCCAATAAATACATGTACTAATGATAGACAACACTTAGAACTATCTCCATATGACAAAGTTTCAAGTCTAGTTCCCATACTTTACAGTAAAAAAAATAATTAATCAACAAATGTATAAATAATGAAAATAAAACTTCAGAAAAGGGCACACAGAATATACCAACAACAGACAGTTATAATAAAAGAAATAAAACTGAAAATTTAGACAGAAATATAGAGTGAATGTAAATTCTTTATTTTACTATATTCTTAATAACGTCTAGCTAAGAAGTATACTCTTTAAAATAGAAGTAAGATCAACAGAGATTGAATTTATTATGCTCAATTATTCGGTTATCCTTAAATTCATTAAAGATACTAGATTCTCATTTATAATATCAAGAGTTCAAGTTTATTCCTTATCTTTGAATAAAATGAACTAGTGAAAAAAATTCTACCTCGCTTATAAGTTTCATGTATTATTTACACAGAATGGACAAATAGGTGGTTTATTGACCAGAATATTTGAGTAAAACCAATAAGTTGCAGGCTCAAGCCACTCCCTACTTAATTCGACTTGAACAGCCTATATACAAAGTGTTCGGGTCAAAAATGAGTATGTACATCTGTACTGCGTAAATGAATGACATTATATCAAATTAGTTCATCAGACCTGTATACCTAGACACAACAAGAATCTCTATGTAGATCAAGTGTACTTAATAAAACCGATTTCTTTTTTTCCAAATCGATAGCATTTGGCTATTTTAAATAATACAATTCAAAAAAATAGGTTTGGCTATGTTGTGGTCTCATTATCTGAATCTATTCGCATTATGATGGGTATGATGGTATCCCAAATGAAAAACACTGTCTTGAACTCTATAGCGTTATCCACTTGACTACAAAATTAAAATGCCTAGACTTTATTCAATATGTCACTAATTTTGTTTTGTTATTATGCATTGAATACGTCTTCAAAAAATATTTAGAAAAAAAATAAACCACCATTCATAGTTTAACATTACAAACTTATTTTAGTTAAACACTTATTGAAAATCAGGAAGTATTAGACAACTGTTTCGTCCTAGCAAGGGGCTTCTCATTAGTGTGCACTCACTACACCCCCAGCGTTCGAATAAATGCCCTTCATGTTTCACAATGACCGCATAACTTTCGAACCAGTAAGTTGGAACCAAACTTTTACATTTCCAACTTCAATCAACTCATGATAATGCGCGACTATTGTCCGTAGTCATTGGTAACATCTCATTCGACACTAATAAATTCCAATCGTCAGGGCTTTACACTAGAACTCTGGAAGTCAAAGACGCTAGTAACCATGCAATGATTGGTCGAATCCCACAATCTACAACTCCCATAATAATAAACACTATTTACCCAACTTTTAAGAAAGAAACATAGATCAGATATATGTTAACATAAATATAGGACAAACGACAGAAAAACTAGAAAATGCTTTTTTATAGAAAAATGAACTAAACAAATGAAATCTAGTAACCATGTAAATATTCACTTGCTAGGCTAAGGACCACGCCTCATACATATATGAAGAGTCAAAGTAAAATGGAGACCAGCTTTACCATACTAAAAGGAATGAAATGTCACTGTTTTGCCTGATTGATGAATAAATATTAAAAGATCAAACGTCAATTCCTCTCCGTGATCCGGGGAATTCACCGGTTCGGCCCCACTGGGGTCACAGATGCACACCACTGAGGAGTGCCATACAAGGACGAAACTGCTCTCCACTGCTTCCTGTTTTTTCAATGGTCGTCTAACTAAAATCAGTCCGTCGTATAAACTACGGGATTCAACACTATTCACGAATCCCCATAATTGAAAAAAATAGTTTTAAAGAAAATGAAAATGGATCATGCGTGACAAAGGAACAGAATTTTTTCTCAGATTATCTAGCACCTAAAGGAGTTTATTTTGATTATCATAATTCTATCAATAGAACTGTTTGTGTTTTTCATCAATTAGTTTATTTTAACAATCAGTCTGACCACTTCAGTAGGTAATGATGTTATAAGGATTTGAGTTGCTTACTATTTATTTACTTCGTAATATCTATAAAGACAGAAAGAATGAGCGCATCGTAGATACGTCGAATAGTATATCAATCCCTTATGCACTTTTTCATTTCATCAATTACATAGCACAGATTTCAATGCTTCTCCACGTTCTACCTTTTCATTTAGACAAATATGATTAATAGTGATAAAAGTTAATGAATCGTTAAGTGACATCGAAACATTAGCCAAGGTTTCAGTAAGTATGGAGGGTGTGCAGTGATGGCTAATGAGTTTGACCATCAGCCAGTAAATTGTGAATGAGAACCCCACCCTACTTTCTTCTGATAGGTCGACCGGGTAGTATACTAGATCTCATATAGTGTGACTCGAAGCTAAATATACAAATATGTACCTGGTAAATGATTTGAATTGAGTATGGATATGACCATCTATGAGGGTATCTTGTCTATGTATAAGCATAGTACAGCCATATGCACGTTATGAATATGTATAAACCTTGGATAATAATCTACAATCCAAAGACAATCGGTATATACTATCAAGTACTTTGGAAGAACATTTAATATCTTATCATTAAATTGGAAATCGTTATCACTGATTATTGATTAGTCAGTCCGTATATTTTATAGACACTATTCTATAACTTCAAAGTAGTAATATTAACTCCAATTTGGAACTCTACTGGTTTGCACTATTCCATAGTTTACTGAAACAACAACTACATATTATGTATATTTATAGACAATAAATGTTAATGAATGACGATTATTTTAACGTGAAGTAAAAAATTGAGTGTTTAAATAAAAAGTGAACTGTGTTACTGAAATACATTGTAGAAAATTTTTATTCAAAATTATCAACCGAATGAGACAAAATGATCGATTGAAACAGATAACTGCACAACAACATAGTAAGACATATCACTGACAACTGAATAAGTCTTACATCTAAAAGGACAAAGTTTTATTTCAGTTTCATTGATACAACTGATGACACTTCTTAATTAAACGTTTTAATCCATAAATAAATAAATATATTTGTAATATCCCAATGAGTAAAAAAATGAGATTTTCTGACGTTTCGTGACTTAGTGTAAGCCACTTCTCCAGAGAATAAATAACCAAATTAAAATTAATCCAAGTTTAAATAGTACAACGGAACAATAATTGAATAATTAAATTTTTTGACAACAAATAACATGAACTCATTGCAAGGTTTCAATTAATTTATGGATAATAGTAATAATAATTATTATTACTATTATCATTAATCTATTATTATAATAAAACAGTTGACTCATCCAGTAAAGTAGTAGCTCAGTGATTGTGTTCTACTTTCAATCATTAAACTGAGGGCTGATATCCCTCCTCACTAAATTCATTTAGGACAAGCGGGTAGTATCACTAATCGTCATACTCATGGTGTGGCTAGGAGCAAAGCACACTCATTTGTACATGGTAACCGCAATAAACAATGAATATCGATGAATAGATTGTGCCACCTGAAAATTATCGAAAAACGATTAAATATTGAAAAAATACCAATTTTGAGCATATCAATTAAGTATAGTAACGTTTGTAAGAAAATAAAAACCAAGACAATCTCTGTTCGTTTATACACATGTAACCTTAGGAATAGTTAGTTCTTTCATGAACATTCTTGAAGAAAAATTTCAAATGTATGTCTTCACTACTTCAGCATTAATGTGATCATAAAATGTGACGTAGATATTCAAACTTAGATGCTTTAATCTTCACTATCAGCATTATTTATTGTTATCATTAATAAACATCAAAGGTAAATACGTTTGAATGTTTACTTCATATGCAGTGGTAACACTGAAGCTGAAGTGAAAAAGATAGATATTAGAAATTTTCTCGAGAATATTCAGGGAATGACCGACTGTTCCTAAGGGCATACATGCAAAAACAAAAACAGACTTCATAGACTTATCAGACTATAATTCCGCATAATATATAACTCCCTCGCCCACCTGCACATTACTACAATCCACACCAACAGCACACATAAAACCAATATTTAATAATGATAATAAACTCAAGGTGAAAAATTTGAGAATGGCTAAATTGCTATCATAGTGACTGGTTCTAAACCATGTCATAATCTAGCAACGTATTTTTATCTTTTCAAATATTTGAAAAAGGGATATTCACAACTCTCTACAAAATCCGGATCAACCGGTCAATGATTTCATTGTACGGATGTTATTTTTCAAGCTGACCAATATATTTCAGTTGGTATCATGCATTGAAATAAAATATGACTTGGTATGTAAAACATTACCCAGCTACTTCAGTTAGTATAAACTAATTTAGTTATCGATTGATTCACTTTCCTCTCCTATACCTTTTCGATTAATTTCGGTATTACTCACTCGGCAATCTACTATTCGTTTATCCATGACCGAATGCTAATAATCTACACATACTTCCCACTCCTAATAACTATATCTGAAAGTTATAAACTAGCACGAAGACTACTACTACTACACAGTATGCTTATTATTTTACCGGCATTTAGATTTTAGTGGGGAAATTCTCACTAGGCGTGTTAAGATTTTCACCAACGATAGACCAGTCTAATTTGATACATCTTAACCGGAGTAATTAAATAGTCTTAAGACAAAGGGAAGCTATGTAAGACCTGAATGAAAAATAACACCAAATGCTTTTGGTTAAAGTCTTGACTTGTAAACAATATAAAGTACGTAAAAAGAGTCGAAATTACTATTAGAATTATTCATCAATATGTAGAAAACAGATATGTTAATAAAGAAAAATCTTTTTATGATAATGCGTCCATGAAGTTGAACGATCTAATCTTAAGGTTTTGTTTTTATCATCATCATTATCATAAACAACACATTTTTTTAAAAAAAGCAATCCATTTCAGAGAACGTAACGTTATTAGAATTGACTGCTGTTCGCCTATATCATCTTGTTAATTTGATCTCGTCGTGCTGATATATGGTAACTTGAATCAGTGCACATATGTGACAGGCTCTATGTTATTAATGATTAACTGATATGCAGATGGTTAATAATGATTCTTGTCCAAAAATTTCTGTCATTAGTAGAATACATTCATGAAAATTCAAGCATGTATAATGCATCAAAATACAGAAAGCGAAGCAAAAGAACACACTACCAATAAATGTTGTCGTAACGATTAATCATTACCTATGACTAACTCTAAATGATTAGTTCTATAAAACTAAAAACGAAAATAACAGAACTATTTGAAATTGTTTTGTATCTTGGCAAACCAGTAAAACAAAATATGAAAAAACTGAATGCATAAAAATGAACGTCACTAAACAGAGAGCAAATGGGTATCAATTAATCAAAATACTTTAATTTTTTTTTAATATTGTCAGGGATTAGGTGCATTAGCAACATCGTGTGATTTTAACTCAAAACATTTCAGCTTTCTGACCAATGGTGTCTCCTAACCATCATAACTCTTAACAATCAAGCTTACATCTTATTACATTGTACAGTTTGTAAGTTAATGATTTTCATGAAATAATATTGTAAGGACTTGAACTATCTAAAGATAATATTTTAAAAATAACTGAATGACTAAAATTACTTAACAAAAACAGATAAAAACGCAAATTGTGATGTACAAATATATTAATAATCATTCATTCATGAAAAGAAAAATAACTTACCCGTTTCTATTTGTGATGTGGACATGATTTTCAATGTAACCACCACTAGTAACAGGATTTGGTTCAGAAGAAACCGGTGGAGAAAAACTATGACTTGAGTTGACCGGTTGTTTATTTCCAGAAGAATCAACAATGTTGCATAGATTTCTATACGAGGAATTATTAGCTAATAATGCTAACTGGTTAACATTATCCCACTGGGAAAGTAATACAGCTGCAGCTTCAAGTTGAGAAGGGGATAACATACTGGCTGCTCTAGCTACAGCAGATATTGTTGGTAAATCAAATCCACTCGGCAATTGATGGCTTTGTGTCAAAGGTTTATTATGTCTTGTTTGTTCGCTAGAACCACTTAAACGTCTAGGAGGTGGGTGTGGAGGAGGAGAAAATCTCTGTGAGTTGTTAGGAGCTGGATATTGGAACACAGGTGAATTAAGCATAGGACTAGACCTAAGTGACTGAGATGTCCTCTGAGTCTTCGAATTATCTGGGCTTTTTATCCTGAGTGGTAGATTTGGTGAATTATTATGAGTAGATATATGGGTCTGACGTCCCTGAGTATCAGGTTGATGTAATAAACCTTGGGAATATCCAGTATTCTGTACAGAAGATAATGTGTCCATCTTGCTTATTTTAGATCCAATAGAACAGTCATTAGAAGGAAGATGCACTAAATCTCCAGAATTTTTATTAACATTAAGCTTAGCCAAATTCTGAGCATAATTTGCTAGATATTCCTGTGGCAATACCTGAAGAAGTAATCCAGGTTGTTGTTGTTGCTGTTGTTCCAATAGTTCCGTAGGATAGTGAGAAATTGTTGTCATCAAGTTTGAATTCACATCATTTCGACGTCCAGGTAAAGCAGACTTAACAGGATGACTAGATTGTCTAGATGTAACTAGTTGTGATTTATGATCACTGTGTAAATACTCGGTAGTCATATTAGATATTGACCGATTTGTGAGAGATTGTTGTTGGAGCATAGACAAACTATATGGATCTCCAGTGGATAGTAAATTCCCAGTTGCTAAGGATCTAACCGGAAGTTGAGTAGAAGCTACTGAATTTGGTAGTGATCTAGAAACTGACCCAACTGTTTGCATAGGTGTATCACAGCAGAGCTTTTTTGAACCAATATTTGAAATGGTAGTCACTGTAGAAGAAGAGGAAATTAGATTTGTGGAGGAAGTATGTGCAGCCGCCATCCAACGCTTTTTCTTTGGTAACATTATTATAGAGGATTGTTAGATTTATCTCTAGTTTGATAAATAATTCCAGATTGAGGGACGAATTATAAATACAATGAAAATAGATAAATTAATCCAGTTCGGTTAAATAGTAAACCCTCAACAATTTACAAATCCATGTCGGTAAACTGATTCGCTATAGTTGAAACAGCTCAATATTAGAATATATATATATACATGTTGATTGATCAATAAATAATTGATAAATCATTGTTAATACATAATTTATTCATAAAGAACTAATATTCAATGATTCCTCAATAAGTAGTTAAATATTAATCAAATAAACAATGGTTAGTCTATGTATTTTATAATTCGTTTATTTCCACTGTCTTTTCTTCGCTAAGATAATGAACTTTCAACCATTTGTCTATCAGCCCATCACAATGTTATTAAATTCTGTCTATTTTCTAATTTAACCAACCGTTAATGAATCACCCATGTAATTGGACAAGGTCAATCATTTAAACCAATCATAAAATTAATTGTATTTACCAATGATAGAGAAATTGTTAATAAACGTAGAAAATCAGAAATTTTCTACGAATTGTTTAGCTTATCAACTCTTATTGGATTCTCATGAGGACAATGTGTCTTCTTACTGATTCCCCTTCAACAACAGAAAAAAATATTAAAAAAATAAACTCAACTATAATTTCAATGGTTAAGATCATGAGTAAATATGTATCCAACCCGTTAAAAGGTTTAAATGCTGGGTAAAATTGGTGGTGGGAATATTAACTATACCGCATAGTTTGTAGAAATATTAGATGATAAGATGTCGTAATCTAGGTTTTCAAATATAGTCTTAACCTAATTGATTGAAGATGATAGAATCACAAAATTGACTTCATAATTTAGTCAGATTATCACCTACATACTGCTTGTTATAACAAAAAGATATCTAATATACTTCTGAATTAATATTTAAGATATTCTGTAGTACATGGATGCTGGGAATATGTCATCGGGTAGGAACATTTACCATAGTATCATATTCTCGAAACTAGCGACTTTTTTTCATAAAACTCTCGCCATTCTTATGGACAATAACATCACTTTCATTATATCGTCATAATATCAATCTCTTCCACATATTATTATTATTACTGATAATTAGAAACATGTGATAGGCTTTCAATAATAAAAGGTAGTCGTACGAGTTTGTGAACATTGATCTAAATCAACTCCTTAAATGTGATACATTTTAAAAACATTTTTCAATCTTATTAAATTCATAGACATAGATAAAACTGTAGTGTACTGTTGATGTGAACGTGGACACAACTTCTTCATATTTATAGATAAACTACGTTAACGAGTTCCGACAAAATGAAAACCTCCAGAATCGATTTTTGATATTATAATTGGAAATAGATGACATGATAATAGTTGTCAGTGGTTGTTAGAATAAAATCAGTTTGTAATGCAAACTATAAACTATAAAAACCTTCACAAACTCTTCATGTTAATAATAATCATGTACTCACTAGTGCCTAAAGAAAATTCCAGGATTTCTAGTGAGAATCAGTGAAGTCAGACCATGTCGTATCTGAGGCAGCTACCCACTTATGACATTGATTGCTGGCTAAAAGATAGTGCGAATTGATTTGCATTAAAACTGTAAACATCATAATCCTAACTGAGTGGTTTAAATGTTAAATGTCAGCCTGAAGGTCAGGTGTTCGATCGAATGTGTGGTCGTGGATGTGCATTGCTTATGACTCTATATGAGGATAAAATAGTTTGTTCAGCACTTTTTGGCTTTCAGCCGTCAGCTAACTAAAAGTAGTTAGTAATGTGAACCACAAAATCCAACAATCTTCTCAAACCACTTGCATTAATAATGTCATATTGTGTTGGATGATCGGTAGGGTTTGAACAACATTTTGAACAGGGCAAAATTTAAGATTATAAAATACTTCTACGTCATTTTGAACATTTTCTCCTTCATTTTAAATTTCCACATCACTAAATACTTATTTATAAAACTTTTAATTAATTACAACTCGTTTGGAAATTATTTATTTCTGAAAAGGTCATTCACTTGACCTTTTTAATCTAGGTAACCATTTAACAAACACGTATTTAACGTAAATGACCTTATTACGATAAGATCACAGGTCAGATTTACTCATTTCTCTATGTTCAAATCCAGATTTCTACGAGCAAAAAATAAATTGTCTTAGTAATTCTTCATAGAACTAACTTAGTGAAACAAAATCAAAATATCCGTTGAATAGTTTGGGTTAGTTGTATGGAGAAAATACTTGATTTTTAACACTCAACAAATGTTTGAAAATTCGACAAAAAGCAGTTCTATTTGAAAAACTTGAAATCAGTTTACCTAGTACCTTGAATAAATTAATGACGAAGTATATCAATAGGTGAAGTATGTATTTGTATTTACCCCTAAGCGCCCTAGTAAGGACGAGGATGAGAAATGTCCTCCATCCTGCTCGAAATGGTTTCACAAGTCTACTGCCTCTATCAGTGAAATCTTACCCACTAAATCCAAATGGTAAGGGTGTTTCGCAAAAGTAAGAGGATAAAAAGGGATGGCCAGGATATAAACTAGATTGTAGGTATAAATGCCAAGATTGGACTAGACAGTTTCAAATAAATTGAGCGTTGGGTAGATAGTTAATAATAAATATTTTTTAATGTCCCAATGAGTAGAAAAATTGTATTTCTGACGTTTCGTGACTTAATATAAGCCACTTCTTCAGAGTGAATAAATAGCCGGTGTAAATTAACGAAAGTTAAAATAGCACAAAGGAAACAATGAAAAATATTATTTTGATTGTGCTAAAAATATTCTGCATTGTTTCTTTTGTACTATTTGAACTTGCGTTAATTTAATTCGGGTATTAGTCCACTTTGAAGAAGTGGCTTACATTAAGTCACGAAGCGTCAGAAATGCAATTTTTCTACTAATTTTTCTACTAGATTGGTTGTTTCAGCAGATCCATCTAAAGAATTTGGCAATTCGTTATCCCAAGGTAAAAGTGTAAATGAGCTTAAGGAACCGGATGACATGTAGAAATAATTTAGTCACGAGCTACCATGAAACTATATTTCCTGGATTTCCTCTACTATCTTAGGTAGAAAACTATCAGAGCTCCATATTACATAAACTGTTTTCTTCATTCTAGCCATTTGAGTAGTATCCCTGCTCATACACATAATAATGTATTAATCAATATCCTAAAGATTTTAGTAAAATGGTGAATAGTATATAGTGGACTTGATTGATAAGGATTGTTACTAATGGAGATTAATCTATAGGATGAGTTAAACTCAAATTAAAAGTATTTTTTTATTGAACTTCTGTTTATTTTTGTTCGACGTTACTATCAGTATAAGGGTTTTGTTGGGATTGTAGAATTTTCATAATTTACATCACAAACTTATGCTAGCTAGATAACCATTGAAAACAAGGGAACATTGGAAAGTTGTTTCGTCCCACTGTGGAACTCCTCAGCAGTGTGCATCCAAGGCCCAACCAAGGTTCGAACATGGGACCTTTAGTTAGATATGTGAGGGCCCAACCATTAGACAACTCGACATGTACTCAATGGTGTGCATTTCTTAACTTCAATCTACTTCCCATATCGCTCAACTATCTTCTAATCTCATTGGTGGGTAACTGACTCAAATACGATATGGTTTAACTCCACTCATCACAGCTTCTAACGAGATAATTGTTTAATGAGTAGATGACTACATATAAAATAGGTGAATTTGTATTGTACATCACGGACATATTACAGACAGATAATCGTTTGAAATTTTCACCAGTGTTAGAGTAACTAAGTTAAAGAAGCAATCCTGAAATTCTAGTAACAACTTGTGGCTGATGGAATCTAACTAATGTGAGATACATATCAGGTAATGATCCCAGAACAATATCACGAACTAACTGTAGCTATAAACCGGTATCATCGGGAGTCAACTTAATGGTTTAAATATAAAGCTCTCATTGTGAGGCTTTTAGGTTTTAGTTTTGATTATTTGTGGAGTCATAGATGATCACTGTTATCTGATACTCTTTGGCCTAGTATTTCAAAACAGAATCCCGTTAGTTATTATTATGAATTACATTCCATCATTTCTCTGACTTCTCAGTGCTCTAATTAATAGGCGTGTAATGAACAAATTTTGAGCTGAACTCAGTTCATATTAAATTGACTACAGGCGTTGTATTGAAATACCGATGAAATACCCATTTTACATTTATCATATGTAACTTTTACAACACTTGTTATCAAATTAGTTTGAAACAATTTTTATGTAAACAAATTATTATTGTTTTATTGTAAAATCATGTTTTTCGTCAACATTATTCTTTTTAAAAATCCAAATGAATATTCTTCTCGTCAATTATACAATGTATGGTTTTATCTTCAAAGTTCATGTTAATCTAAAAATCACGTTTCCACAATGACCTGCACACATATATATACACCCACAGAGAAACATGTTTATACACACAAACCATTATAAGAATTCAATTTATATTTTAAAAATATGATATTTGCTTATGTAAATGACCTTTTTTTTTCTAAGTATCGATTATCTGTCTTTATTTATTTATTTTTTACTTTAGCAAATAAACGAAATAAACGAATACCATTAAGCGTAACAATAATACACAAAGAAACTTATTTATATTTAGGTCAAATAGTCAATAACATACACAATTAAAATATATTATGACATGGTCCAAATAATGAACGATTCTATGTACATAATTCTATACAATAACGTTAATAAGACTGAAATGGTGAGAAAAATAAAAACAATAATCTGATCAATTTCATTTTATCGATTGAATGAAAAGTATTAAACTATTGAATGAAAACAAGTAAAGATTTTCATGAATTAATAAAGGAGTTTTATAAAGATTGATTTAATTTGTAGGTATTATTCTTCATAAATTAATTTTCTATAGGGAGCGTTAGCTAATGATTTAGCTCCAT